GCTTACAACGTGTGCTGCTAGAGGACTGCTGACTTTCCCTTCACAGAGCTTTTCTGCTTTGCTGAATCCTGGGGGAATGGCCTGCTCACTGTCTCCATGGAGACTTCAGGCCTGATGCCTGCCACTTCTGACCTCAGACTCTCCTGTTCTCTCTGCCCTTTGCTTGTTTGCTTTCTGTTCCTTTTTATCCTCTATTTCTTTATAAACTTACATGTATTTCCATTTTTCATGAGAGGCACAGAGAGCTTATACCCGCTGGTTCACTTTCCAGATGGCCACAGTAACCAAGGCCCAGGCCCAGTCCAGGAGCCAGGAACTGCAGCTGGGTCTCCAGTGTGGACAGCAGGGATCCAGGAACTTGAGTCACCTGATTGCCTCCCGTGGTGTGCATCAGCAGACAGCTGGGTTGTCCTGGACCCTGGGTGGTGCCCCGGTCCCTACAGGGGCTACAGAGCACTCTGAGTGGTCATTGACCACGTGTTCAATACCTGCCCTGCTTGCCGTCCCTACATATGTCTTTTACACGGTCAGTACTGGCTTAGAATCATTCGCTCTACTTTTGTTCAGAATTCAGAAATTCAGCTGTAGCAAGCTTGGCCAGTGAAAGCTTGTGGGCTCCTGCAGTGAGAGTCTAGTTAGTTTTGAGGTAGGGGCCACTTGGTTTATCTTTGTTGTCTGCAGTGCGGCTTTTTCCCCCTGTGGTGTAGGGTGTTTCAGCAGTAGGCAAGGCTCCTAAGTCCTTGAGCCATGTTCCCAGCGAGAGTTTCCTTTCTGAGCCATCAGATGAAAGTGATAAACTTCGTGCTGTTGGATCAGAGTGAGTTGCCGAGCAGCAGGTGTCAGAGCAGATTCTGCCCTAGAGTTGTGGAGTGGAGATGCTTTACAGATAGTTGGCATTGCAGGTGATATGCCCTGGAATACTCAAGGAATGAAATACTCATTTGTTTTGAAGCAGAAGGTGCAGAAAAAGTTTTTTTTTTTAGTTTGTTTTCATTGGAAAGGGAGACTTACAGACAGAAAGAGAGAGAGATCTTCCAGCTGTTGGTTCACTCCCTAAGTGGTTACAACAGTTGGTGCTGAGCTGATTTGAAGCCAGGAACCAGGAGATTCTTCTGGCTCTTGCATTCGGTGCAGGGTCCCAAGGCATTGGGTCATCCTCCACCCTTTTCTGGGGCTACAAACAGGGAGCTGGGTGGGAAGTAGACCAGGTGGGACATGAACTTTCGTCTATATGGGATGCTGGTGTGTGGAGGTAGTTTTACCCATTGGGTCCTTGTGCTGGCCTCAGGACAAGTTTTTTGTGGCAAGAATATGACTAGAACAAAGTGTGCTTTACCCATCTTAGTGGTTACACAGCGTGTATCTGTGTGTGGACCTTTTTTCTGCATGCACTGACCTTTTACTCGGAGGACCTAATTGTGTAAAGATCCGTTCCTCACCACAGCTCACTTGTTAAGTAGGGAGTTTGAACATTGCTTCTATCTGCAAGGTAAAGCAGGGACTGGGGAGGCAGATTCGTGTAGGCAGAGGGTAAGGTTGTGGTTCCGGGGGGCAGCGAGCGAGGGGAAAGGGGAGCTGTCGGTCTGGGCGCCGTGGTTTCTGTTTTGTAGAGGAGCAAGTGCTCTAAGTGCAGCATGGGGCTTCAGGATAGGACCTCTAGGGTAAAAACGTGTCACACACTCGTGCTTTAGCACAAAGAGAGTGGATCTCAGATGTTCTCTCGTGCCAAAGAAAGGTAACTGAAGAGATGGCTGGATCAGTTAGCTTGACTGTTCATCTATTCACGGTGCATGTAACATGCCACGTGCCTTCATCTACCCAGGCTCCGTTTAAAAACATGTTCTGGGCCTGGCATGATGGCTCAGTGGCTAAATCGTTACCTTGCACACACTGGGATCCCATATGGGCACTGGTTCATGTCCTGGCTGCTCCGCTTCCCATCTAGCTCCCTGCTTGTGACCTGGGAAAGCAGGAGAGGATTACCAAAGTCCTTGGAACCTGCCCCTCTGTGAGAGACCTGGAAGAAGCTCCTGGCTTTGGATTGGCTCAGGTCTGGCCGGTGCAGCCACTTGGGGAGTGAGCCCGTGGATGAAGATCTTTCTGTCTCTCATTCAGTCTGTAAATATAACTTTCCAATAAAAATGAATCTTTGAAAAAAGTGAAAAAGAAAAACACATGTCCTTTGCTCTTTTACAGAATGCAATCTGAGATCATGTTGCATTTAGTTGCTATGTTTTTTGTTTTATTTAAAAAATTTTGTTTTTGATGGTATTTACATAGTTGATTAGGGTGGGAAGGGTTGGAGAATAGAGAAAAGTGGGTGAGACCATCGTTTCCAATTTTTGTTTTCCTCCTGTATTTGGGGGAAAGAGGGAGCTAAGGGGAGAAGCTGCACCCAGGCTCCCAGTCTCCTCAGTACCTGGGGATGGAGAATGGTCACCCCATGTCATCCCAGGGTCCCTGATGTGGAGTGTGCCCTGAGGGTTCTGCTTAAATGGTTTTGGTATTTCTGAAATGCTGTCAATCTCGTGGATCCGAGGATGAGAAAATGGTTGACATAGCTCACCTTAGAGTCTCCATTCGCCCAATATTTGCTGTCAGTGCTTGTCTGGGGTAGTTGTCCACTTTGTTCTGCCCTCCCTCCTCTGCAGGCTCTGATGGACTGCCATATCCTTCGTGTGCATCTGGGTGTGCTCCATCTTAGCCACTGAGATGTGGTGGCATAATGAGAACGTTTGCCAGAGCAAGTGCCTGCAGGTCCTAGCTTGGGACCTCAAGGGTGCAAGTTGAGTAAAATGCACTTCCACGGAGGCTTTGTGGCTACTTTGTTGAATAAGTTGGGTGAGCAGGCGAGGCTTGAGGGCCTGGGCATCTAAGACAGTGATAGGACAACAGAGGAAGGGATGGCTGCTGGGGCCTGGGTGAACAGGTTCTTTCTGCAGAACAGCATGGTTCTGTTTGGGGAGAACAGTCGTTTACTGGTTTCCCCTGCAGTGCTGTGTTGGGCTTTTTTGACAGCCTTGCTCTGAGAAGGTGAGTGAGCTAGACCATGCTGTGGTCCATGCTGCCATGCCAAGGCCCTGGCCCTGCAGCACTGGACCCAGGGTCCTACAGTGGGTGTAGACTGTATGCAACGGACCTCCTGTCCAATGAAGGCCTCTCTGCAGTCAGAGTGGAGTGGGTTTTGTTCATGTTCTGCTTGCTGGATTAGAAGTGACAGCCCCCATCACGTGTCTTGCTCTGGGAGCTTAGCTGGATCAGCTCTTTTCAGGTTCTTGGGACAGTGGCAGTGATCACTCCAGCGCAGTACCAGGGGAAAACTCGCTTCTAGGGGTCAAGTCCCTTCTGCTGGCAGTAGGCTTTGATTTTAGAGCTCTGAAACCCAAACTCTGTAGTGAAGACATCTTTTACATAAATTTGTCTATGGGAAGAACTTTGTTGTGCTAGGATGCCATAGGAATATGCTTGTTTTGCAGAACTCATGCCTTTGTTATTGTTGTTGTTAGATTTGTGTATTTAGGACCTGTCACAATAGCCTAGTAGCTAAATCCCCGCCTTGCACATGCCAGGATCCCATATGGGCACCAATTATTGTCCCGGCTGCTCCGTTCTCTTTCCAGCTCCTGGCTGGTAGCCTGGGCAAGTAGTAGAGCATGGCCCAGAGCCTTGGGACCCTGCGTCCACATAGAAAACTTGGAAGAGGCTCCTGGCTTCAGATCAACTCAGCTCTAGCTGTTGTCTCTTGAGGAGTGAACCAGTGGAAGGAGGATCTTTCTGTCTTTCCTTCTGTGTATGACTCTGCCTTTCTAATGAAACGAAATAATCTTTAAAAAAAATTGTGTTTATTTAGAAGTCAGAGTTACATAGAGAAAGAGACGGAGATCTTTCGTTCTCTGCTTCACTCCTCAGATAGCCGCATGCTGTAGACTGGACTAGGCTAAAGGCAGGACTGAGAAGCTTCTTTTGGGGTGCAAGCACTTGGGCCATCCTCTGCTGCCTTCCCAGGCACGTCGGCAGGGAGCTGGGCAGGAAATGGGGCAGCCAGCTCTCCGACTGGTGCCTGTATGGGATGCTGGTGTCACAGGCTTTACCCCTTATGCCACAGTGCCGGACCTACGCTTGTCTTTTTTCTGAATACATGTTTAGATAATTGGTGACCTGTACAGTTGTAACGAGTTGTGAATTGAGAAGACTTGTTCCTGGTCTGCTCTCTTTCTCATAATTATTTCATAGTCCTTTACTGAAATGAAGTCTTTGACTGGCGTTTGGCTTCCCCATGTGGCACAGGGCACAGTGCTGAGCACCTCCACACATTGTGGACCGGTCCTTGGACCTAAAAAGTATTTCTGTGTATATTCACACATTGTACTTATACAGAGGAGTGTCACTAAGTGGGAAATCCAAAATCAAGTGGAACATCTGAAATGTTCTAAAATTCAAAGCTTTCGAAGTGTCTCGACACATTGTGGACTTTGGGACGTTTTGCAGTTTGGGTTTTTAGATTAGAGGTCCTGAACATATTCCTGAATCTCAGAAACCCAAAAATCTGGAACATTTTGGTCTGAATTGTTTCACAGAAAGGCTGCTCGAGCTGCGCACATCCTACTGTAATTACGGGCACTGCTCTAGGTCTGTGAATATAAACAGGTATTCTAATGGACGTGTGAAATATTCCATTACGTAGCTGAACTGCACTATGTTTAGCTTATTTTCATTAGTAGGTTTATAGTTATTTCCTGTTTTGAAGTGTCAGTGTAGCAACAAATATTCCTATGCTTCATTTTTGTGCCCTCTGCTCCTTTTAGGCGAGTTTCTAGGTGTGGGAGTGCTGGGTCAGATCAAGACTGCTTGACTTTTGAACTGCTCCTCTTAGGTCAAGATAAAGCTGAGACGCCTCTGGGAAGACTCTCCCATGAGCCGCTGAGGTTTCTCTTGTCTCCATGCCTCCTTTTGTCCCAACCTGCATGGTTGTGTAACGGTATTCTTTTTCCCTTTTGTAGTCAGCTGTGCTAGAACAAAAATGCAATGAAAGCAACACTGGATGAATGACAAGCCCTGCTTTGCCGCCCCTCAGCATGGCAGGCCTGCAGCTCATGACCCCTGCTTCCTCACCAATGGGCCCTTTCTTTGGACTGCCATGGCAACAAGAAGCAATTCATGATAACATTTATACGCCAAGAAAATATCAGGTACTAATGGGAACACTAATATGGGAGCATTTTTCACTAAAATGAAACAAATTAACATATAGTTGACACAACTTAGAAAACTCATTTGCCCTGTCAAGCCTCCTTTTGATTAATTTTCTCAATTAGAAGCACTTTGTTTTAATAGTCTTTTTCTTTTCTAACATCTGCCGGGGTAATTGATTGGATAGTTGTATTTGAAGTTCCCTACTTTTCTCCTGCCTCCCCCTGAACACCTTGTGATTCCTGAATGTCCATTTGGGTGTGTCTGTCCTGAGGAGTTAGGCAGGAGTTGGGGTTGGTTGGAAGTGTTTAGCTGTGGGCTGGCAGGACCCTGGTCACTGCACCAGTAAGCATTCGTATCATTCTGGAGTGCATGTGACAGAAGTAACTCTCACACAAAAGCATTTGAATGCTATTTCAAAAACATATATACAGCAGAGCTGTGTGTGACAAGTGAACATACTTCCGTTGTTCCTGTTTAAAGATGTGGAATGTGTGCTGGGTTTTATGGGACTGATTTTTGTTGGAGGAAAATTTTAAGAAACAGTGAAACTTCCTGATTTAAAACCAGAATTCAGTTGTTGCAGTTTTGTCTTCAGTTCCAAAGTGCCTAATCTGTATTTTTTCTCCACTGTACTCTAGGTGGAACTGCTTGAAGCAGCTCTGGATCATAACACCATCGTGTGTTTAAACACTGGCTCAGGGAAGACCTTCATTGCCGTACTACTCACTAAAGAGCTCTCCTACCAGATCAGGGGAGATGTCGACAGAAATGGGAAGAGGACGGTGTTCCTGGTCAACTCTGGTAATAGCCAGTGGCGTTATCACATTGGAGGGGGTTCCTGTTTAGGCACATTGTCTCTGGGGGCATTGTGGAAGTGACAAGAGTGCTTGTTGAGGCTCTGCCAGCAGACATACCGTTTTGTCTTATTTTGTAATGTGAATGCAGCTGATGCTGTGTTGCTGGTGGATGCTTTACTCTTGGGACGCATTCTAATCTGCCACAGTTACTTTGTTTTCTTGATGCTTTAATGTTACAGAGTATCTCAAAAGGTGATTGCTTATGGGATGGGGAACATTTAGGGTTGATATTTTTTGCTATACCACCTATAGAAAGTAGGTTATATATTTTTTAACAGTGGGTTTTATTGTTGTTGTTGTTAAAAATTTATTTATTTATTTTACTTGAAAGAATTGCAGAGAGAGTTAGAGAAAGACAAAGACAGAGATGAGGAGAGACATAGAGGTCTTCCATCTGCTTCTTTGCTTCGCAAATGACCGCTGTGGCCAGAGCTGGGCTACTCCAGAGCTGGGAGCCAGGAGCTTCTCCCAGGTCTCCGTGTGGGTACAGAGCCCCAAGGATTTGGATCAGCCCCGCTGCTCTCCCAGGTGTATTAGTAGGGGGCTGGTTCAGAAGTGGAGCAGCTGGGATGTGAGTCAGCACCCATAAGGGTGCTGGGCCACAGGTGCCACAGCATGGCATCAGCGCCTGAGCTGCGATTTTTAAATGGGCTGTTTAAAAACTTGGTGGTAAGGTAGAATATGTAATTAGCAGTTTCTGCAACTGTCTTCTCTGTGGAACAGAGTTTACTAGGTAAGATTTCTCATACTTACATGGAATATTGTGTTTGTGATCAGCAAACCAGGTTGCTCAACAAGTATCAGCTGTCAGAACTCATTCTGATCTCAAGGTTGGGGAGTACTCAGACCCAGAAGTAAGTGCGTCCTGGACTAGAGAGAGGTGGAGCCAGGAGTTTGCTAAGCACCAGGTGAGCCCTGTATGATATTAGGGGATCCCAGTCTGTCCTTGACCTGAAGCCAGTGCTGTCTGCCTTAGGTCTGAAAAGTCCTTTCTGAGCCTGGAAATAGCACCGAGGTCCTGTCTCCTCCCAAATCTTGTCCTAAACCCCCAAACGACCAGCCTGTGTTTTGTAGAAATGAGACCGTTTTCAGCACAATTGGTCTTGCTTAGAAAATGCAAGATCCCTTCCTGCCCTTCCTCCCTGCACCCCAGGAGCCGGCTTTGAGGCCATTTGCTTTAGAGTTGAATGCATTGAAAATGGGCAAGTTTTTGGTTTCAAGTCTCTGGCTGTGTGATGGAGACCGTCTCTTAGGTATTTGGCTTAGCCAGGATGTGTGGGGGCTTTTTTTTTTAAGGTATATTTTATTTTTATTTGGAAGACAGAGAGAGAGAATGAGAGACAGAGACACAAAGATCTTCCATCTGCTTTTTCATTTCCCAAATGGCCACATTGCCTGGAATTAAGCTAATCTGAATCCAGAAGCCAGCAGCTTCTTCTGGGTGTCCCATGTGGATGCAGGGGACCAAGGCCTTGAGCCATCCTCTGTTGCTTTCCCAGGCCATAAGCAGGGAGCATGTGGTACAGCTGTGGCTCGAACTGGCATCCATAAAGGATCCTGGCACTGCAGGTGGAAGCTTAGCATGCCATGTCACAGCGCCAGCACCAAGAGGGACTTTTGTGTGTTAGAATTAGGGAATATGGAGTGGTTGGGAGCTGCTTTCTAACCGTCAACAGCCAAGGCCTGTTGGGAGGTCTCACACCCTGGGCCACGTCCGCACTGATGAACATGTCCTTGCCCCAGGCTGCAGAGACAATGTTGAGCGTGCCTTCTGCTCAAACACCTTGTTGGTGTGGTGGCAGACAAATGATGGTTTTGTGGTTTGTCATGTTCGAGTTTGTGGGAACCTGGAAGTCCGAAGTAGACTTTGTCATAAGAACATGGTTTCCAAGATCAGGATTTTTTCTTTTCATCTTTCCTGATGTTTTCCTAAGTTGCTTCTTGGCTCCAGTACCTGAATTTCTTTCCATTTATAATTTTTATTTTGATTTTGATTAATGGATTTCTTAATCCTCATCTATGATACAATGACTGCATGATCTGGTTTTATGTAAGTGTATCCAGGCAGGTGAATGACATATTTCCCAACTGCTGTCTGTTTCATTATAGGTTCTCATTATGACTTGCCATGTCGCCTTGGATGTTTTGAAGAATGGTTACTTGTCCCTGTCAGACATTAACCTTCTGGTGTTTGATGAGTGTCATCTTGCAATCCTAGACCACCCCTACAGAGAAATTATGAAGGTAACTTGTAAGATAGAGTAAACTGAGTCTATCAGATTCTTTAAGGTACCGAAAGCAGTGGTATTAGTTACCAATATTGGGAACACTGTTCTGCAAATGAATATTAGATTAATGTTCATTTGAATCTATAGTACAATTTTCAGCATCATATTGAATGGGAGTACAGCGTGGTCGGGAGCTATTTATTTATTAATGTTCTGTGGCTTACTTGAATGGTCCTTTCTGAAAAGGAGTAATTTTACAGCAAACTACAGTAAATACGTAGTGTGTTGTCCGCGGTAGACCTGCGTTTCCATGGCACAAAGCTTCTCCTATGTGAATGTTAGTGATTTTGGCGTGTCTTTATGTGGAGGTGTCTCTCTTGTGAAGGCCTTGCAAAATGAAGTCTTTACTGTCAGTATTTTTATTATGTTAGCTCTGTGAAAATTGTCCATCATGTCCTCGCATTTTGGGACTAACTGCTTCCATTTTAAATGGGAAATGTGATCCAGAGGAGTTGGAAGAAAAGATTCAGAAGCTGGAGAAGATTCTTAAAAGTAATGCTGAAACTGCCACTGACCTGGTGGTCTTAGACAGGTAAGGGCTCTGGCCGACGTGGCTGTGGCTAGTGACGTTAGTAATTGGATGTTACTCTGCGCTAGAACCTGCTAAGTCCAGAGATGGCCGTGCAAAGGACTGTGCCTGACTAAGGTTCTTTGCAGGCACAGTTAGCTGTGATGACAAAACGCTAACCTTGTTCCCATGGGGGCGGGGGCATGCTGTAAGATGTCATGTTGCTTAGTCCAGCCCTTCTCACTGGCTGTGCTGCCAGGCACTGGGACCCCAGACAGTAAATTTGCCTTCGTTTCTACTCATGTGGGGCTTTGTTGTTGACCTAAATGTCTCGCATCATGCCTAGAATGCGCGCTGGCTTATCTGGGGGAATTCAGCAGTGTACTTGAAGATATTTGGAAGCACCCTGTTGTTTTGAACTTGGGTCTCAAATGTCTGAGCAAGATGGTGTTTATGATGTTCAGGTGGTTCTCTTCAGCGAGTTGCTGCTTTGAGTTTTATTAAAAATACCCACAGAAGTGCATGTGCATACCCCCTTACTGCTTTGTTTAAGTTGGTGGTAGAAAGTCTGTATTAGTAGGAAAACGAATTTTTAAATAAATGTAACTAATTCAGATCAAGTCAAAATTTGGCAATGTCCTTACCAGATTCAGTCTCATTATTTAAATAAGGCTGAGGAGTACCAGGTGGTGCCTCTGAGGACAGTTACACTGCATTATAGGAAGACTGATTTCTCAGGTTATGGAGTTGAGTCAATTGTGGTGTTGGTTATTAGTGTTCCTACTTGTAAATTACATGACCTTAGGGCAGTCCCTTGCCTGATTCTGTGAGATGGTGATGACAGTGGTCTTGTGGAACTATTTGATGATCACTAATGGGGACTCTGGGAAAGCACGACGTGCTTGTCATTCAGGAGACTGAGAGAAGCTTGCCTCACAGCGGGAGAAGGAAGTCACCCTGGGGACGCATCACACAGGGGTCGGGGAAGCTGTGTGCACCGCGGGTCTTGTGTTGGCACTCCCGAGCCAGCCTTGTCTGTGGCTGGCAGCCAGAGGCTGGCTTGGTGATTTGATCTGGCTTGAGTTCAGTTGCTTGGCTTTTTATAGTGCGAAGTAGGAGCCAAATGGTAACTAAGAAGCTACCTGTTGGAGTAAGCATTCCTAATTGTCCAAACAGGAGTTTTGGTGAAGTCTGAATTCTCATTTGGCTTAACAAAAATGGAAGTATAGTTTGTAAATATGTTGTTAATGTGTTGATTAAAGCACAGTATGTTATTCTAGAATAATATGAGCCATTCTAGTTGTCATTTTTAATTAAAGGCATATTATAAGCCAAGAAATTCAATCAGAAATGAATGAAAGTTGGAGGAGTTTCCCTTATGAAAGCACATTGAAAGAAACATTGACTCTACAAATGCTGGAAATTGCAGGCAGGGTCGGTTAGTGCTCCCTGTTCTGTGCTGTCATCCCTAGCTCCACCACTCAGATGTGTCCAGCATTGGCTGTTGTCTCTAGAATGAAACAAATGGTGTTAGGGGAGGCGGTGCGCCTCATGGGAGCAGCCTCTGATGGACGGTGCCACTGGGTGTCTTTAAGCCTTGCCAGCCTTCCTGGTCCCTGGCTGAGGAGATGCTGCAGGGCTGTCAGACCCTGTCAGGCATTCGCCTCCTGTTCTTCTTCCTCTCCTTTTGAAAACATCTTATAAATACATTTCATTGGTTTGCAAAATATATACATCTATATCATATGTTAATGTGGGAAATCCACTGATATTGAGAATAGTTACCTACACCACAACTAGCATTTTGGCATATTAGCATACGCTTTCCTTTATTTTTTGAAAAAGAAATTTCAATTAAAAATAGACTTTTTGCTGTTGTGATATTGAGAGAGTTTGTTTCTCATCTTGAAGATACACTTCTCAGCCATGTGAGATCGTGGTGGACTGTGGGCCGTTTACCGACAGAAGTGGGCTCTATGACCGACTGCTGGTGGAATTAGAAGAAGCACTTGGTTTCATCAATGACTGTAATCTACCTGTGCATTCAAAAGAAGGGGATTCTACTTTAATTTCTAGACAGGTGAGCACATACAAAAGAATTATACTATGTGTAATAAAAAAGCTTCTGTTTATATTTAATATTGAATCAAAATTGATTCTCATTGAGGTTACTCTCTGTATGTTTTATTTTAATGCCTTGTCTCCTTAAATCCTTGGCCATTTTCCATTTAATATTCCCTGTTGGATTGATTCCCTGGACAGAAATTTATATCGTTGCACGTAGAGAGTCATGATTTAGGAATTAGGATCCGTGTCAGGGCTGTTGAGGTGGAAAAGGTGAGCCTTGTTTTAGGTCAGGTGATTGAGTTTCCTTAAACCTCTGGACTAGGTAAATTCTGTGCTGTTTCTTAGCATGCGTGACCAGCTGTCAGCCCTGTCCCTGAGTGGTGCGGCTCTGAGCAGGGGTCTTTCAGGACGACAGGTGGAGCAGCATCTGTCTCTCGATTATTGGGCTGTTTCCCTAGACCTGGATTCCGGCTAGGATGTACTGAGCTGAGTTGTGCGTGAGTCAAGCTCGGATAGCCCTCCGTGATCACAGCACAGTCACTCATACGTGAGAACATTGCTCTGATCGCATGACCACTTGCCAGAGTTGACTGGATTGAGTCTCATCTCTCTCCCGGTGATTTTTCCTGGAGCAGCAGTGCCCAGCTTTTTCTCAGCCTTTGAATTTTGACAAAGGCCATATTCAACCCCACAATCTTGCTTCCTTTCAGAACCAGCCGTGCCTTGGCTTAACCTGGCTGTGGATTTCTGTTTGACACTCAGCTAAGGGTAGTGAGTGAGATGCGGCATCCAGGCAAGGTTCTGGACCAGGGTCTGGTCGGCTGTGAAGCTGATGAGGCCTGAACTAGTGGTGCTGTTTGCACTGAAGTGATAACAAAGGATGATTGTAGAGTGGCTTTAGAACAATCTAAACCAACCAAAAGTAACCAAAAGTGCTGGCTAGGGACTGGCCATGACTTATCCAGCATCCTTCTCCTCTTAACAGTCATTACAGTGGAATAATGTGCAAAGCCAGGGGTGTTACACATAGATCAAGGAAAATTGGTTTGCTCTTTTTGCTAAGAAAAATTGCCTAGATCAGATTACTCCAAAGATAAAATTTCAAGATTACATCTCTCTGTGATTCTTTATGCAATGTGGCGGGAAATAAGTGACACAGATGTAGTTCCAACTGACTATAGATCTAAAGTAAGTTTGATGAACTTCATACAGTTGTCCTTTACACTTATATTAGACTTTTTGCTGGAGGGCAAAAAAAGATGGTTTCCAGCTCTCAGCAGGAGCTTGTCCTCCCAACCCCCCAATAAATATGCAGAGTGAAAGAACTTGAAAAAAAAAATCACTATCCCACTCCAGCCACAGGGCACTACTGTCAGTGTTTGTGTTGGTAGGACAAATGGATTTTGAGTAATTAGGGGACAACTGACCGTGAAAATGCTGCCTGTTGCACGTGATTGCCGTCTGACATTGGACATTTCCTTTTCTTTGTAGATCCTGTCAGATTGTCGTGCAGTGTTGGTAGTGCTGGGACCTTGGTGTGCAGATAAAGTAGCTGGGATGATGGTGAGGGAATTGCAGAAGTACATCAAACACGAGCAGGAGGAGCTGCACAGAAAGTTTTTATTGTTTACAGACACTTTCCTAAGGAAAATACATGCACTATGTGAAGAGCACTTCTCACCTGCCTCACTTGACCTGAAATTTGTAACTCCTAAAGTAATAAAACTGCTCGAAATCTTGCGCAAATACAAACCATATGAGCGGCAGCAGTTTGAAAGCGTGGAGTGGTATAATAATAGGAATCAGGATAATTACGTGTCTTGGAGTGATTCTGAAGATGATGATGAGGATGAAGAAATTGAGGAAAAAGAGAAGCCAGAGACGAATTTTCCTTCTCCATTTACCAATATTTTATGTGGAATTATTTTTGTGGAAAGAAGGTATACAGCCGTTGTCTTAAACAGGTAAGTATCGAAGGTGAACCTCTTTGCCATCCGGAACAAGGCCTGTTTTGTCGTGTGAGGCAGTGCAGTCTGACGGCTTTCCCAACGCCAAGTCAGGGCTGGGAGAGTGTTCCAGCGATGTGGGATGCTTCCTGTGGTATAGGTGCGGATGGGAGGAAGCCACCACTGTGAGCTTTCCTGAAGTACTAGCTGGGTGTAACTGAGATAGCTCCTTTTTTTTTCTAAAGATTGACTTATTTTACTTGAAAGGCAGAGTTACTTTCTGCTGGCTCACTTTCCAAACAGCTGCAGTGGATGGCCAGGGCTGGGCAGCTCCAAAGCCAGGAGCCTTCCCGCCCTCCCAAATGGGTACAGGGGCCAAAGCACTTGGGCCATCCGCTGCTGCCTTTTCCCTGCACTAGCAGGGAGTTGGGACTCCCAGCTGGCACCCCCAGGTGAAGGCTTTACCCACTATGCCATAGAGCCAACTCCATGACTGGGATCTTAAAGGGAGCTAATCTGTCCTAGTTCATCTTAAATAGTGAGCAAATGTTCAGCAGTCTTTTGTTGTGTGTTCAGTTGTTCGATTCTGTGCAGATATTGATTGTATGTTTGTCTTTATGTTGAAACATTGAACTCTGAGCTCTCTCCCTCTGGTCATGCTAGAATACACTTCATTTGGGTATTAGGATGAGTTTTTTTTTTTAAAGGATTTATTTATTCTTTATTGGAAAGGCAGATGTACAGAGAGGAGGAGAGACAGAGAGGACGATCTTCCATCCGATTCACTCCCAAAGTGGCTGCAACAGCTGGTGTTGCGCCAGTCCAAAGCCAGGAGCCAGGAATTTCTTGCCAGATCTCCCACATAAGTGCAGAGTCCCAAGGCTTTGGACCATCCTCGACTGCTTTCCCAGGCCACAAGCAGGGAGCTGGATGGGAAGTGGAGCAGCCAGGATTAGAACCAGTGCCCATATGGGATCCCAGCACGTACAAGACGAGAACCTTAGCCATTGCACTCTCACACTGGGCCCTAGGATGAGTTTTTTAAAAGATTTCTTGTTTTCTTCACATGGCAGAGTTACAGAGAAAGGGAGAGTCAGAGAAAGATCTTCCATATGCTGGTTCATTCTCCCCACATGGCTGCAGAAAGCCACAACTGAGTCAGGCCAAAGCCAGGAGCTTCGTCTGCGCTTCCCAAGTGGGTGGCAGGGGCCTAAGACTTTAGTCATCTTTAGTTGCCTTCCCAGGTGCTTCAGGGAGCTGGGCCTGATGTGGGGCATCTAGAACTGCACCCAGTGCCCGGATGGTACGCCGTATTGTGGGCTGGCTTAGCCTGGTGCGCCAGCCCATTCCCATTGGGGTTTTTCCCAAGGTGATACTGTGGAATAAGCACTTGGTGTTTGTACTCCTTTTCCCACATACAACGCTGAAAGTCCCTGAGGTATTGCAAGTTGCAAGTGTCTCTTTTGTGCACTAATGACTTGACTTGGAGCTGGCGTTCCCTGCTAGTGTCAGGATGGGTGCTGGCTGCCAGGAAGTTGGCAGGATTGGAGTCGAGACTTCAGCCACACCCAGACTTTTGGGGAGGGGAGGAGCGCTGTTGGTTAAGTCAACTACTACTACTTGGTGAGTTAATCAGTAAAGCCCACAGGGGCCAGGGTTCTGAGAGCTGGGCAGCTGGACATGTGGGGGTGTCTGGAGGTGGCCGGGCACCTCTTCCGCCTGCCCCGCTCTGTGAGGCTGGATTCCCTGCGGCATCCCTTCTGGTACACTGTGGCCTGTGAGCATGTGTTGCCCCGAGTCCTGTGGGCTGCATGAGCCCAAAGAGGGGGGATTGTGAGGAACTAGAGCTCATGTAGGACATCTGTGGCTGGCGTCTCAAATGGGGAGGGGGTGACTATGCACCTTGTGGGCTCTGAGCTGGGGTCCCCCAATGCAGAACTGATGGGCCATTCATTGTGAGGGAAACTCACCGGGCCATTTGTGACCACACAAGTCCTCTGAGCTTGTGGTGGTGTGAGAGCAGGGGAGAAGCAGTTTAGTTTTCTAACACAAACAGTGACTCAAGTTTCAGTGGAAAAGCTTGAGGGAAGCTGAACTTGCCTTGAGGTTAGTTTCTAGACTGCATACCAGGGTTTTCTGAACCAGAATGACTGTTGGGAAGAGTTCTGGGAATGTAGGTAGGGATGACAGCAAATTCAAATGTTCAATTGTGGATTCCATCCCTTTCCTCGTCTTCAGAAAAATTTCATTTTTCCTGAATGTAGGTCTAGCCAAGTGGCTGTGCCTGATTTGTGTCAGATGGTCGTGGAATGCAGGGTCCTCTGGTTTGTGGGTAGATGTTTGATTTTCTGTGGAAAAGCGTCCTTGTTTTATACTTAGGACAATCACCTTTTCTACGAGGCCCACTAATTGGCCAGAGTGATTCCTACGAGCCTTTTCTGCAAGTAGTGTTCTCCGAGGGAAAATTAAGCTTTGTTTCCTGGGGTAATTTGGGATTTTTCCCCCTCTTAACTGCTTCTGAATGTTTAGGGGCTTTAAAAACTTTTCTGAGTAACAAGAAATTGGACTCAGGGGTAGTCATCTGGCAGTTCTCAGCCTGGTAATTTTCATAGTCATTGAGCCTGATCCTTCTGATGAGTAGGAAGTAAAATAACTTTAGGTACTGAATTACATTTAAACCAGAAATTTAAGGTTGGAAAGGGACCTCATCAACTATCTAATCCAGCCCACTTAATTTTATAAAAAAGAGAAAGTGCTTCAGGAGGAGAAGTGATTTGCTGCAAGTTAAATTGCCAGTCAGTGGGAGACAGTTCTAGAATCCTAATAACCTAACCCCTGGTTTCCAGTTCTTTCCACAGTCAGAATGCTCCCGGCGTCTCACTGCTAAGACCCAGGGCTGCACATGGGAACATTGCCAGGGGCCAGAGAGAGCCTGCTGAGCGGGGAGTGCTGAGTGCTGGGCGGCCCAGCTAGGGCTGCTGGCCTACGTGCTCCCTGCCGGCAGGAGGGTGGTGGGGTTAGCTAAACTCTCTGGGGCTTGGAGAGAAGAAACGGGGTTTCCTTTCTGCCTCTGCCTGTTTTCTGCAGGCATTTTTATGTTTAGACATGTAGTGTTCAGTGCAGGAATGAATGTTAGCCCAAGAAGTTTACCCAGAATCATTCCGTTACTTCCCACGGACTTTAAGGATCAGGTTAATTGTGATCAACTTTGATCCAGTGCGGCTGGGATTTAGTGTGTGTGCTGGATTGAGAGTGGCTGCGTTGGACTTTATGAGCAGCTAATTAAATGCACAATCGGGGTCTTGTTTCAGTAAGCTTTTTAATAAGCTTAGGAAAACTTCCTGAAATCCAGATTCTTTCCTTCCCTGGATTTAATGGGAATGAAACTCCTTCCTCGGCGAGCGGTGTTGTACAGCACTGTGCCACACGCTCCTCATCAGAGCAGTGCGTCCTCATAGTTGCCCTGTGCGTGGGTAGGTGTGCGTTCAGGCTCCCGCCTGTCAGCTTCCTTGTAAAAAACTGTGAGGGGATTTACATGTTACCTTGATGTATTTAAAGGTTTCCACATTCCTGTGACAGGTGAAGGACCCCATCATTCTGTTTATGATTCAGTCCAGACTACATAGATAGCCAGCTCCCCTTCTGAGAGTCCAGTGATCTGTCAGCCTATGGTTCATTGTCAGCCTGGGCTTCCAGCCCCTCTGTACCCATTGTGCTTTGTTCCCGGCTCACTTGTATTGCATTCATTTTCGAATGGGAAGGCAGCACCTGGAGTTCCTGTGCCTGCCTCACCAGATTTTCCCATCTAACAGATCACCTAAGAAAGCTAACGTGGGTGCATCATTGTTAACTAGACTGCACTGTGTTTGGAGTTTACCCTTGTTTATGTTATTGTCCTGTTTTCAGTTGAAGGTATTCCAAGGTCTCCTATCGTTATCACGTCTCCCCAGGCTCCTGTGGTCTCTAACAGTTTCATGGTCCAAGTTTTGATCAGTCTGGAGGTGGACTGGCTGGGTGTTTGTAGCATGCTCCTGTGTTTGGGTTTGTTGGATGCCTTCTCAGGACTAGACCAGAGTAACTGGAATTGGAAGAAGGCAAGGAACTCCAGGCCCATGTGCTTCCCAATCCTTGTTCATTTATTAACTCTTTTTAGATAGAAATCTTATGAAAGTTACTTAGTTTTGAATTTTGAGCCCTTTTAGTTTACCGGGCGGTAATAATGCCTTCATCTGTTGGCCCATGGATGAGAGGGGATGTGTACTCGAAGGAGGGTGCTGTCACCTTGGCACATGGTAGATCCTAGGTCTTTGTGCCTGCATTGGAAGGATGCATTTTTACTAGCCTGGCCTGTAACTGGTGGTGATAGGTTTATGGTGTGAGCACACACAGAGGAATTAGTTTGATTTTGTTCATTAACTGGAAGATGTTAGATGGAAAGGATGCTATGAAAGATATTGTTCTGATATGCTTGAAGTGGCTGTTAGAATTTCAGAAGATGTGTATATGTTTTTTATTTTTTCTTTTATGATCGAATGGATGATCATGATTAGTCAAATCACAGATATCAGTAATGTATCCAGCTCTGATCCAGTGTGTGTGGTTGCTGTTTTTAGTTATCCTGTTTCCAGTCTGATGGGAGAGGCTGTGTGCATACACATAGAAGCAAAGTGCGGTCTGAGGCCTGGCTCCAGGACAGAGCTGTGCTGTGAATTTGGTGCAGCATTCAGAAGTGCTTCCAGCAGTCTAACAGTAGAAGAAAATCAGTGTTTGCCTTTCAGATGATTTTTTAAAAGTGAAGTATTAAGAAAATGAACTTAGAAAGCATTAAAATTCAGAGAGCAAGAACGATCTCCCATCTCACTGGTGCATTGCCCGGACACGCCGGGCCAGACTGAGCCAGGAGCTCAGGACTCAGCCTGCGGCTTCCTCTAAGCGGTGGGGCCCAAGCCCTGGAGTTGTCACTGGCTGCCTGCAAGGACTTGTGTTGGCAGGAAGTGGACATGGGTAGCATAGCGGGTCTCCAGACTGATATGGGAGGCCAGTGTCCCAGGCAAATGCCTGCCCTCTAATTAGTTCATTTCTGCAGAATTTAGCAAAAAAAAAGTCATGGTCTCGAATGAATTGGAAGTTAGCAAAACAAGAAAACCACAAAACAAAACAAGACCTGGCTTGGCTCCAGATGGTTTCAGCAACTCTGCACTCGAGAGCAATTGAGCACATGCACCGGCCTGCTGCTGGGACAGCCGCATAGACTCCAGGCAGAAATAAGTGAGACCCTATCTCCCTGCCTCAGCTGGACAGCACAGTCTGGGTGGCCTGCATTCACCTCTTGTACCGCGCTGCAGCTGGGCGTCCCTGACAGCCCGTGGCTTCGTCCTGGCTCAGGCAGCGTCTGTCTCCTCACTGTCAGCATGGTGTGTCACCTGTAGTTGCCCACTGAGATGCCATCTACTAACGTCCGTGTTGTCTGCTCATGCCACTGTCCATGTGGCTGTAATTAAGACAAGTAAATCTGTAAAGATTAGCAAAATAATTACAAAAAGTTATAAGTACGTATAAAAAAAAAAAAGACAAGTGAATCTGGTCATAATCCGATTCATCTGAGGGCTACAGAGTGATGGTTTTGGCAAAGTGAGTCTGTTCTTGGCTGAGGAGTAGTTGACTATGTGTTTTTCTTTCTGTTAGATTCAGATTGATGAGTGTGGAGGTGTGCGTGTGTTTGCAGCAGTGTAGGTTTTGGTTCAGACATGAGCGTGCTGTGTGCAGTTCTGCTCCTGCAGTTATGATAGTAATTAAACTTTGGAGCGGCATAAGGGGCTTTCTGGTGGTGCACTTTTTAAGTCCTTGAACTGCACAGTGGCCTCTTAGCTTGACCTAGACATGCCAGCGATCTACTGGTGGGGGGCACAGCTCTTCTGAGCGCTCCCCAAGGTTTCCTCCAGCTCTTTGATATTAGTCTGTTTTATGTATTTTTAAAAAGGATGGTTTGACTTAAACATGCAGTTTTCTATTAGGAATTTCTCCTCTGTATTTTGACTTCAGAAGAGCCATATGGAGTCGTTTATGTCAGGTGTGGAACCATTTATCCTGTGCGCGTTGTGTTTGCATGTAGACGTTTCTAGGATAGCTGTAATGGGCTCACTGATTGCTGTTATGTGTCTACGTAACACGATCCTGTCCTGTGGCTCTGTGCCCTTTCTTGGCCGGCAGGAGGAGTAGGCTGAGAGTAGGCAAAGAGGTTCCTCTCTCTTCTGACAGCATGGGGCAGGGGAGCCCTTGCCCACTAGTGTGGTGAAGCCTGGTGTCTGCATGGTGCAAGTGTGGGCAGTGACCTGGCAGGTGCAGGAACTGGGGTGACGAGGTATTGCTTTCCCTAGAGCTCTACTTCCAGTGATTGTGTTGGGGGTAAGATGCAAGGGAGGAGCCATCCTTGTGGGCAGCTGGAACGCTTTTGTTACACAGAGGCAGGAGACATCCTGAATTGGGGGTCAGACTGGCATGTCCTCGTGTGTCAGCAGGGCTGTAGAGAAGGGGGCGTGGCTTCTGCTGACCCTGGGTCTGTGTCAGGGAAGTATGCTAAGCTGTACATCCAGAGTTCTGGCCAGAAGCTGGGATGTGGAAGGATCCAGGTTTCTCAGACCACTGGTCCCACCCTGAGCCACATTTCTTTTTCTAAAAATATTTGTTTACTTGAAAGACGGTACTTGATTTGTCTGCAGAGTAACACAGAAAAACAGAACCTTCCAGATGGCCAGACAGTTGTGTATGGGCCAGGCCGAAGTCAGGATTTCAGTGTGGATGGCAGGGGCCCAATTATTGTGCCATGTTTGCCACCTCCCAGTAGCATGATCAGGAAGCTGAACCAGAAGTAGAGCAGCTAGGATTTGAACTGGGCTCACATGGTATTCTCCTGTCAAGGGTGGAAGCTTAACCCACTGCATCACAATGCTGGGTCACATTTCCAACAAGTCATCAATACCCAATCAGAAGTTGGAGGTAGCGTGAGTATCTCGTGCTCAGTATATGCAGTCTTGGGTTTAGTGTGATTGGAGTGCTCGGTCCACAGATCCATATGGTGAGGGTGGTTCAAGTTGGTTGGGAAAAAAATATGATAGGTATGTTGACAAAAAATACTTCGTCAGTATTTGTATCTAAAGGAGACTTTACAAACAAAAGTCTGAGTAGTTTTCCCTCAGCAGTGCTTAACTTTCAAATGTGTATGATTTTCTTAGATTGATAAAGGAAGCAGGCAAGCAGGACCCCGAGCTGGCTTATATCAGCAGCAACTTTATAACTGGACATGGCATTGGAAAGAATCAGCCTCGAAACAAACAGATGGAAGCGGAATTTCGAAAACAGGAAGAGGTAACTTAAATCAGAATGATCGTACAATTGCAGTTCTCAGAGCAAACGCAGACACATGGCCCTTGGGAACTCCCTTTCGCTCTCATTTGCCAGCTCGTTTCAGTCTCTGTACTCTAGAACACTTATTCAGATGTAGACGAGCTGCCTGCTCTAGGTGGTGCTCCAGCAACTTCTGTGCTCGGAGGAGCTGTCTGATAGGTCGTGTTTTTTTTTTTTTTTTTTTGTCTTGATCCATTTTCTTTCGTTAGGTTGACATCACACAATGACATCTCACATAGACGAGGCAGGTGTGTCTGTGGACGCCTGTTGAGTCCATGGGATTCTGAAGGGAACAGCCCTTTTCCTAGAAGGATTTTCTTTGTTCATGAAAGTCCTGCTTTAGTAGAGGACTTTAGAAAATGGCACTATTTGGTTTATGTGTTCTGTGCTTTTTAAGGTCTCGGTGTAGAAAACAGTACTGTCAAGATGCCAGACTATTAGAGTGCTTGGCTTGCAGATGCAACCTTTTAAAATTTATTATTCAACTTAGAATAATTCCCGTGGAAGGTATTTTAGCTTTTTGATAACATTCCAGGAGGGGGAATCCAGGAGCCAGGAGCTTGTGTTACTGTTTAGTTTGCCCTGAATTAGGGCGTGATGTGAAAGAGCCATCACTTCCTGTTCTCATATATTCTGACTCCTTAAATTGAAAATTTCCCAAGGTGCCAGAAAATTGAGTAATGTACTGTCTGTGACTTTGAGTTGTTGGTAAGTCAGGGAGGTTAGTGATGGAGAATGTTGGTGCGTGCTCACAGGCATGCGACAGCTCTGGGGCGTGCAGAGGATCCTCCGAGCTCCGGACGGGCATGCGTCTGGTCCTTTGAGTGAATAGATCCATTTGTGGCCATTAGAGAATCCAGTCTTGATTTTGCCTGAACGCTGTCATGTCAAGGCTTCTGTGACCTGTGATGGTTATTTCTGTAAAGTACAAAGGCACTGTGTTCTTTTTTTAAGAAAATTTTTTTTATGTACTTGAAAGGCAGAGTTACAGAGAAAGAGAGCTCTTCCATTCACTGGTTCACTTGCAAATGGCCCCGATGGCCAGGGCCACGCCAGGCTGAAGCCAGGACTTTCTTCCAGGTCCCCATCTGGATGCAGGGACCCAAGGACTTGGCCCATCCTCTGCTGCTTTCCCAGGTGCCTTAGCAGGGGGCTGCATCAGAATTGGAGCAGTTGAGATTTGAACCAGTGCCTGTATGGGATGCTGCTGCTGTAGGCTGTGGCTTCACTGGCTGCACCCCAGTGCCAGCCTCTCTGAGCATGCTCAGGAGCAGACAGCTGTCAGTTCAGGCAGTGCTTCTGCCTCCACACACCCCGGGTTTTCTTTTTAATTGTCCTCTCTCTGTGCTGGCTTTAGGATTTTCTGAGAGTAGAAAAAACAGACTAACAGTTATTTAAATTTACTGCCTCGTTTTCTTTGAAATTTTCTTAAAATCGCTCTTCCTTGTGGATTTTTTCCTTAGGTTCTTCGGAAATTTCGAGCACATGAGACTAACCTGCTCATTGCAACGAGTATTGTAGAAGAGGGTGTTGATATACCAAAATGCAATTTGGTAGTTCGTTTTGACTTGCCTACAGAGTATCGATCCTACGTTCAATCTAAAGGAAGAGCCAGGGCTCCAATTTCTAATTATATAATGTTAGCAGATACAGATAAAATAAAAAGTTTTGAAGAAGACCTTAAAACTTATAAAGCTATTGAAAAGGTAAGATCAAAAATTAATATGGTATCTTTATCATTGTTTGTATGCATGTAAGTAAAACAACTGCTGGCCGAGTAGTCTTTGAGGGAGTGTTGGGGTCTGTGGTGGCCGAGTAGCCTCCCTGGGACTGGTGGGGTCTGTGGTGGACGAGTAACCTCCCCGTGACCGGTGGGATCCGTCTTGGCCGAGTAGCCTCCGTGGGTGCGGTGGGGTTCATGGTGAAGAAGCTGAGAGTGATGGTAAGGATGCAACATTCTTATGTTTGGAAGAGCGCAGTGGGGTGGCAGGGGATTCGGTCCTGTGGATCCCTGGGGAAGCATGTCTGGGAGTGTGGGCTGAGAGTGTGCACAGTATGGTAGGGCAGCAGCTGCATGCCAAGCCTGTGGCTGCAGGGGAACGCAGCAGTGAGGCCCAGGCACGTGGGCTTGGGAGGGTGGGGGTCTCACATCAAGAGAGTATTCCTAGAGTGGTGCAGGCAGATGGCTAACGCACAAAGGAGACAGTTGTGTCCATCCTAAGTGCTGTGTGTACATTGCTCAGATCCTGAGGAACAAGTGTTCCACGTCCATCGACACCGGCGAGACTGATGTTGATCCTGTCGTGGACGACGACGATGTTTTTCCACCGTATGTGTTGAGGCCAGATGATGGTGGTCCGAGGGTCACCATCAATACGGCCATCGGACACATCAACAGGTAGGCGACCAAGTCTTCATGTGGAGAGCCTGCAGGTGTCCAGCAGTTAACTTTCGGCCTCTGAGTGTTGTATTTACAGTTTGTAAATCCTTTCTGATCAGTATGCAGGCGCAGTAATGTGTGGTTGTGTTTAATTCCCTTTGGCAAGGCCGTCATAATGACGAGACACTCATTCTGCTTGGGTTTATGTTGGCCTTTCCATTATCAGTTAACTGAGATTTTGGCAAATTGTATTTTTGAGTGTGACAATGTGCTTTTGCTGAGCTCTTAATGACATTTTTAAGAACTAAATTTTCTTGGCAGCTCCAGGATAATTCCTCTGCACCATCCTTTATGTTTGTGGCTATTTCAGTTCAAACTTGAGCTTAAGTTAGGAAATGCAGGTCCCGATCGCACACATTAGGGTACTGAGCAGCCACTGCCTGCTTGGATGCATTGCACAGAAATAAGACATTTCATGGGAAGTCCTGTTTGATGACCCTGTTCTAAAGAGTTAAACGTTAGAAGCAAGGGACTTGCAGCTCTGGGTGGAGATGCCAGAGGGAGGGACCCTGAGGCTGTGCATCTCAGGACACCTTTCATTTCTTGTTGTGAATTCAGCCCAGATTCTCTCTCTCCACAGATACTGTGCTAGATTACCAAGTGATCCGTTTACTCACCTCGCTCCTAAGTGTAGAACCCGGGAGTTGCCTGATGGCACATTTTATTCAACTCTTTATCTGCCGATTAACTCACCTCTTCGAGCCTCCATTGTTGTAAGTTTAGAAAAAGAAATGATCCAATCTTTTAAAGTATGTCATTAATTTTTGCCCCACTTCTCTAAGATGTGCAAATTAGAGGTTAATGTGGCTTTAACATTTGCTTTCAAAAGCAGATTTATAGATGACGTTGTAGTCAGCTGCGTGTTCAGAATGTTGACAGATAAGTTGCAGTGGAGAATCCCTGAGCTGCCATTGAGCTCTTAGTCATTTGACACGGCTGTTGCGCTGTGGCTGCTGCACTTAGAATTGGCCCGTGCCGGTTATTTTGTTGTTTACTCAAAAATCTGCTTTGTGTAATGCTGTCCTCTGTCCCAATATTGATTTCCCTATATTCTAGCATTGCTAATTTATGTTGTGCATAAGAAGTGTTCACTCAGTCTCTGTGCTAGTCTTATCCCAGTATATATTTTTGTTTTTGTTGTACAGTTGTATATTATGAAAATAAGAGACTTTAAAATCTCGCTGAAGTTTAAGTTATTAAAAATTAAGAGGATCTTAGTTATGACTTAGTTTTTTATAAGGTGAGGACTTTAAAGGATGGAATGTTTAAATGTGCATGTTGGGAGTTTTAGAGAACCTATGTTTATAAAAATAAACTTGATTCAGGTAAATGGAACTTTGGAGATATTCAAGAAGAGGTTTCTTAGATGTTTTATGTACTGGTGATAATATAACTGCATGCACGTGTAATGAAAATATTTTTCGTTATTTTTCAGGGCCCACCAATGAGCTGTGTACGGTTGGCTGAAAGAGTTGTAGCTCTCATTTGCTGTGAAAAACTGCACAAAATTGGTAAGAATGAAAACCATGCAAATGAAAATAAAATGCTTAAACATGAAAGAAGCCTGCCAAGGACTTCGTGGGTCTCTGAGCATCACGTGGAAGCATGACCTGGCCACTTGTGGTGTGTGCTTTGGTAATCAGGGACTCCACGGTGTGGCACGGGCTCCTGGTTTTCCACAGCTTCACTGCGCCCTTCCCCGAGCAGATGCTTCAGGATCTTATACCTCTCAGATGTGAGCCAGCATTTAAAGCCTACGCTGGCAAACAAATTCAATGTTTATTTTTCAAACAACACAAGTTATTTGCCATGACCTTTTTGTTGAGAAAGCAATATATACTGTTGTCACGTTAAAATGTTTTTATTTTTGAATCTTATGAATAAATGTTTATTTATAAATTTACAAATAAAATGTTTTATTTTTTGAAATTTGAATTTGCAGTCTTGTTCAGTTGAATGTATGAATGCCAAAGTGGACTTTGCCTGCATGGCCACTCTGGTTACTTTTATATTATTAAAGATGCAGGTGCTTTAGTTTGAATCACTCCAGCTACTTCCCAGGCAGGGCTTTGTGGCACTGCTGGCTAAACTGTTGCTTGCTGCATCTACGTCCCATATCAGAAGAGTTCTGGCTACTTTGCTTCCCATCCAACTTACTGCTCAGGTGTGTGGGCCCTTGTGGTCCATCTGGGGGACCAGGATGGAGCTGCAGTCTTGCCCAGTCCTGGCTGGTGCAGGTGTTTGGGGGATGAACCAGCAGGTAGGAGGCATTTTTCCAGGACCCTGCCTTTCAAGTAGGTGAAAATCAATAAACAGTAAAAATAAATAGGATGTTTACTCGTTAATGAGAAAGCAAAAATCTCGAGTATGTTAATTCTCTTTTTGAACTTGTTAGGTGAACTGGATGAACATTTAATGCCAGTTGGGAAAGAGACGGTTAAGTACGAAGAGGAGCTTGATTTACATGATGAAGAAGAAACCAGCGTCCCAGGAAGACCAGGCTCCACGAAGCGGAGGCAGTGCTACCCTAAGGCAGTTAGTATTGGTCGGCCGAGGGCACCTGGGCTTGCCGCTGCCCAGATGCCGCGGGTCAGCGCGTCTCCACGGTTCAGTCTCTTCACCTCCATCCTCGGACTCTGTGCTGCCTCTGCTTCACATGTTGCTTTGGTTTTCCTGTTCCGAATATTCTTGGACTCATCTAACAGATTCTTCTGGGCAGTTTATTCCATTTAAAGAGAATGTTTATTGAAGATTCATGTGATAAAACACCCAGAGGGAAAGACACTCTCTCGAGGTGACAGGTCCACAGGAAGGGAGGAGCTCTGCCAGGAGCTGGTATGGGCTCTGGGGGCAGCTGTTCCCACGTGCTGTGCCTGGCATCCAAGCACATTTCTGTATTCTACTTCTTCTTGTAGCCATACTCGGCTGCAGTGTGGTTTGCAGATACTTTTGTTAGTATTTTTCCATCCCAGTGACACTAAAGTTTTGCTGTATACTTTTGTTTTTCAGTTTCATTGCAATTTTACTTTAAAAAAATTTACACAGTTGCTCATTTCCAAGATTTGAAAATCATGTTGGTATTTAGAAGGTGGCCCAAGTGCTAGGCCCCTGCCACCTATGTGGGAATCGTAGAAGAAGTTCTTGGGTCCTGGCTTCATCCTGGCCCACTTCTGGCTGTTGTGGGCACCTGTGGAGTGAACAGTCCGTGTTGCTGCTCCCCTTGGACTGGTTCCAAGGGCAGCCTGGCTAGCAGGAGTTGTTCTGAGAGCTTGGGACTTCCATGTCCTGTTTCAGAAATGGTGTGCTCTGTGTTATCTAGGAATTACTCGTTCTGTCTCCCAGCCAGCATTCTCTTATATTTACTGTAAGACCTAAACTGTGCAGTTGTATTACTGCTGGATGTTCAGAAACCCCACTAATAGTAACTTGATTATGGTGCACTCACATCCTAACTAAGATGGCCATTCAACAGGGTGCTGACTCATGTTGGCCTTGGAAACACTCCCATTGTAGTAAATGGGGATAAAAATCAGACTCCAGCCACTCCAGCCTGTATTTTGTATTAAAAAATATGAATGTATGTTTATGCACGTTTATTCATAAGAAATGGATTAGGAAATTGTCCAGGCTATCTTTGGGTAATAAGAAACTATGGCATTTTTAGAATTTTGCTATGTTAATTTTCATATTTTATAATGAATAAATAAATAAACAGGGGAATTTTTAAAGATTTATTTATTTACTTGAGAATCAGAGAGATGGAGAGACTGAGAGACTCGCACATACTGGTTCACTCCACAGACGCCCAGCATCGCCAGAGTAGGGCCAGGATGAAGCCGGGAACCAAGAGCTGCTTCCAAGGCTTGCAGGCGGCAGGGGCTCAGGCTCTCGGGCCACCTCCTGCTACTTTTCCTAGGGCACTAGTGGGGAGTTGGGTCAGAAGTGGAGTAGCCAGGACTTGAGTCAGCACCCATACGGGAAGCTGCTGTCACAAGCAGTGGCTTGGCCAGCTACGCCATAGCACCAGCCCCAGGAAAAGCATTTTTTACTTGGAAGAAATAGATCCAAAGTGTCTTTTAAAACCCTGCAGTGTTTGGTGATCTTCTGCAGTTCTGCTCTTGGCTGTGCAGATCACAGTGCAGTGTGATGTTGGAGGGTTTGGAGCACCGTGCTGCTGCATCCCAAGACAGACTTGCCTTCCTCAGAGTTAAGCAGCTAGGAGGTCTGTCAGCTTCTAGTGAAGCCAGCTTCTGGGAGAGAAGCAACTGCGGTGCATGATTTGTCCTTTTAATTCCAGATCCCAGAGTGTCTGAGGGATAGTTATCCCAAGCCCGATCAGCCCTGTTACCTGTATGTGATAGGAATGGTTTTAACCACTCCATTACCTGATGAACTGAACTTCAGGCGGCGGAAGCTCTATCCCCCTGAAGATACCACAAGATGCTTTGGAATACTGACAGCCAAACCCATACCTCAGGTAAGCCCTTCACAGTGACTGCACGGTAACAACATCTGGTTTTGAAAACAAGTAAAGGGTCTGGGATAAAGAAAACTAGTAGTTTATTAGCTCAGTATGCTGGGTGTCTAAAGGTTAAGTCAGAGTGGGCCTCATGTGTGTGGAGCTCCTGTGTCCCATGTGGCATACCCGGGCTGGAGTCCTGCCTGTTGCACTGCTGCAGATCCCGGACGGGGTGTATCCTGGGGCAGCAGGTGGAGGCCTGGCTGTTGCCGGCCCTTGGGGAGTGAATGCATGGGTGGACAAGAACCTCCCTCTTGTTGCTTTTCCTTTCAAGAAAGCAAAGGCGAAGAAAGATGGAAAGCCGAGTGCAGTGCTCAGTGCTTGCCCCCGCCCCATTCCCCCGAGGTCACCGTGGTGGAGGAAGTGCTTGCTGACTTGTGGGCGCTGTCTTTCCCTCCACTCAGATCCCACACTTCCCCGTGTACACGCGCTCCGGAGAAGTCACCATATCCATTGAGCTGAAGAAGTCCGGCTTCACCTTGTCCCTGCAAATGCTCGAGCTGATCACACGGCTGCACCAGTACATTTTCTCACACATTCTTCGGCTTGAGAAACCAGCATTAGAATTCAAACCCACAGACGCGGATTCAGCCTACTGTGTTCTACCTCTTAATGTTGGTAAGGAGGGCCCAGGCCCCAAAAGCTGTGTTTCTCAGTGAGCTTACTGTGTGTGCCCTAGAATCTCTTCCTTTGAAAACTCCGCACTGTGGATGTGTATTTTAAATAAGAATCTTGCCAGCATTGCATGTTAACAAGTAATCTTTTTCTCATCCAAGTTAACGACTCCAGCACTTTGGACATTGATTTTAAATTCATGGAAGATATTGAGAAATCCGAAGCTCGCATAGGCATTCCCAGTACAAAGTATTCAAAGGAAGCACCTTTTGTTTTTAAATTAGAAGATTACCAAGACGCAGTTATCATTCCAAGGTAGGTGTTAGAAGGAAGGGACAAGGCTGGTGATAGTTGGTTTGAAAGATGTGCCTGTTCCCTGGGACTGTGAGCTCTGGCTTCAGCATTGTTACGGTGGACAGGAAACCTGGGGGTTTCTTCCAGCCAGAGCTGATCTCTGCTTTGACTTGCTGAAAAACCAGAACAGAGCAGCTGTGTGTGGGTCAGGTGACTGAAATGAGCTCGTTGGCCTTCTCGCAGTGTTCATCCTTTGAGTTCCCAAAGTCATGGAATCTGGTCATGAGTAAGCATTTCATTCAAGATTTAATGTGGAAATAATGCCATTAAATTCAACGAAAATAGTAAAGCCAAGTGCTTTTCTTTTTTCTCTAATTGGTAAAAATTTCAGGAATGGAATTTTGGGAGATAAAATACAGAAACTTTAGAGAAATGGCTGTGATTCATTTGGTCTTTGGCTGTTGTGTGCCTCAAAGCTGCATTTTAAATACCAGCTATAACTAGGTTACGTGTGCCATTGCATGTTATGATAGAGTCTTTCATGTATAGTGCTGTTAATGTTTAAAGGTTTTAGTGTGTTATTTGCACGTTTTAAGTCTTCTGTACTGTTTGTATGGGGATATGATATTTAAATGTTCCTAACTTTTATGTGATACTAGAGTGTAGAAACCTGAAACTGGATAAAGTAGGGGAAAATAGTTTTTCCTATTGAAAAGTTATTATTTTTAGATTAGGATTAAGTCTTGTTAGGATTAAGTGTTGTTTTAGCTTTCTTAGCGTTCAGTCATAGTTGGCTTTCCCTAGTAAGAGCAGCTGTAGCTTGAGGATAGTTGATTTAAACCATAAGCAACTGCTTTTCTGTCTTTTTTAGGTATCGCAACTTTGATCAGCCACACCGATTCTACGTGGCTGACGTGTACACTGACCTTACCCCACTCAGCACATTTCCTTCCCCCGAGTATGAAACTTTTGCAGAATATTACAAAACAAAGTATAACCTTGACCTGACCAATCTCAACCAGCCGCTGCTGGATGTGGACCACACATCTTCAAGGTAAGGCCCAGGCTGTGTGCGCTCTTCCCCGGCCTCCAGCACACGTAGAGCAGGCTGTGCGTCCTGCCAGCCTGCGACACAGGTTGGCCAGTGCGGTCCCAGAGGCTGAGTTTGCAAGTGTGTCAGGACATTGTAGGCACACAGGGTGGAGAGCACTAGGAGACTGTTTATTCTCGTCTGTTTGATGGAATTGTTTTGACATTTTTATAGACTTAATCTTTTGACACCTCGACATTTGAATCAGAAGGGGAAAGCGCTCCCTCTTAGCAGTGCTGAAAAGCGGAAAGCCAAGTGGGAGAGTCTGCAGAACAAACAGGTAACGAGCTGTTAGCACACCTTCGTTTGTAGAGCCAGGTTGGCTTTTACCTGTGATTACTGTTACCCATCTGCAGAGTTTTGCTTTGTTTCATTAGTATTCTGTATTGAATTGTATTTGAATTTGCTTTTTGGTATGTGTGGGAGGTTTAGCTTTCAGACTTGGTCCATAGATATAATTGTATCATGAGGTTGCCTGCTACCTTGGTGAATCCTAGAGTAGATCCCGTTTAGGATGTTTACCTTTGTGCACTGGGGAAATGGGTCTTCAGTGTTCATTTGTGTGAGTGAGTGTGCATACTCACACATGCGTGTGAGTGCACTCGTGGCTGAGTGCACGTATGCGTGCATGTGTGTGCACATCTGTGAGTGTATGTGTGACGTGTCTCTGCTTGCTTTTGCCTCACTGCCTCGCAGATCCTGGTCCCGGAGCTCTGTGCCATCCACCCCATCCCTGCGTCGCTGTGGAGAAAAGCAGTCTGCCTCCCCAGCATTCTCTACCGCCTTCACTGCCTTCTGACTGCAGAGGAGCTCCGAGCCCAGACGGCCGGCGACGCCGGCGTGGGGGTCAGGTCACTGCCTGCCGACTTCAGGTAGCTAGTAGTTCCTGCGTGCGAAGGAGAGGGTTGTGTTCAGTCATTCTGATCCCGGAAGCCAGTGCATCCTTGACTCCCACGCGCATCCCGTCTCCTGGGTGCTGCGTGTTTGAGGCCCCTGCGGTCAGGACCCGCTGCTCTGCCCCTGGGATGGGGGCTGAAGCGAGGTTCATGCAGCTCTTCCTTCCTCCCTTTTGGGAACAGGTGTGGCTTACAGAGCAGTTGCCTCAGTGTGTTATTTGTCTTCATTACTTCCTTCTTGGATAAGTTTCTGCTTGCTAAAAAAGTTAGGAATTTGATCACTTAGTAATTTTGCTCACCCAGGTGGCAACAGAAATGACTTTTTCTTTTTTGACTGAAGGAACTTTAAAATATATGAAGACTAGGAATCAACTATGTTGAGCGTGGTGTCAGACACTAGTATAAATTCTGTAGCCTGTAGAACTGCGAAAAGTTCATGGAAATTAGAATAAACTTATTTGTTACAAAAAAAATCCATGCATAGATTTTCTTTTCATCTAAATATTTATTTATTTGAAAGTCAGAGAGATAGGAAGAGGCAGAAATTCCTTGTGCTGGTTCACTCCCCACGGCTGCAGAAAGCAGGGAGCCCCACGTGGGCAGCACGGTCCCAAGGACTCAGCTCACCTGGTGTTGCTTTCCCAGACGCATAAGCTGGGTGAGAAGCAGAGCAGCCAGGACTGAGACAGTGGCTTGATGGACTGTGCCACGGTGCCATCCCCCTCCGCTGCACGACATTTCTCAGGAACACCTCCCCTACACACACACACACACACACACACACACACACACACACTCTTAAAAAAAAAAATGTGTGTGTGTGCACCCTATGTAATGACTCCTCTAGTCTTCCCCTTGCATGCGCTGGGATCCCATATGGGTGCTGGTTAATGTCCTCGCTGCTCCATATCCTGTCCAGCTCTTTACCTGTGGCCTGGGAGAACAGCAGAGGATGACCCAAAGCTTTAGGACCCTGTACCCTTGTGAGAGACTGGGAAGAAGCTCCTGGCTCTGGATCAACCATTTGGGGAGTAGATGGAAGATCTTTGCTTCTATCTCTCCTCTTTGTAAATCTGCCTTTCCAATGAAAGTAAATAAATCTTTTTTTAAAAAAAAAATTTTTGTTGTCAAAATGAGTTTGCAGTTGCATTTTCCACAAGCTATGTGAAGTCTCCTTGCAGTTATTCAGAATTCATCCTTGCTCTGGTCCTGTGAGGCAGGGCCTGTGGTTAGTCCCACTTGCCAGGACAGGTGGTAATGTGGGAATGCTGCATCGGCTGTGCAGTCCTCTTGGCTGGCGACTTGGAGGGCCTGAAGGTGGAGCTGTGCAGCCTGTGGCCCCTGGCTTGGTGAGCCTCACTTCGAGGCTCTGTCCCTGTAGCAGCACTAGCAGCAGCACTGGAAACCAAGTCCTTCTTTCTAATGTGCATCACACAAAAGTGCTTGCTTGAAAACTCTTCCAGAGTAGGAGTATATTCGTACAAGTCTTCATTTTCCCCCCGTATTTTAAATTACCTCTCTGATAGTTGCCCTTTTGAAGGATCCGATGAAAATGTCTTTCCAGATACCCTAACTTGGACTTCGGTTGGAAAAAATCTATCGACAGCAAGTCTTTCATCTCAATGTCTAACTCATCTTCAGCTGAAAATGATCATTACTGTAAGCACAGCACACTTGTAGTCCCTGAAAATGCTGCACATCCAGGTGCTAACAGAACCTCCTCTCTAGAAAACCATGACCAAACGTCTGTGAACTGCAGGACGCTGCGCAGCGAGCCGCTGGGGAAGTGCCCAGGGGACGTGCCGACAGATCCGACAGCAGTTAATGGTCTTTCTTACAATAAAAATCTTGCCAATGGCAGTTATGATTTAGCTAACAGAGACTTTTGCCAAGGAAATCAGCTGAATTACTACAAGCAGGAAATACCTGTACAACCAACTACCTCATATCCCATTCTGAATTTATACAATTACGAGATCCAGCCCAAGCCCAGCGATGAATGTACCCTACTGAGTCATAAATACCTTGACGGGAATGCTAACCAATCTACCTCGGACGGAAGTCCCGCAACGGCTGCCATGCCTGGTACGACGGATGCTGGCAGAGCACGCTGGGACAGCACGGCTTGCGAGCAGAGCCCTTCTGTCGGGTACTCCTCAAAGACTCTCGGCCCCAATCCCGGCCTCATCCTTCAGGCTCTGACTCTGTCTAATGCCAGTGATGGATTTAACCTGGAGCGGCTTGAAATGCTTGGTGACTCCTTCCTGAAGCATGCCATCACCACCTATCTCTTTTGCACTTACCCCGATGCTCATGAGGGCCGCCTTTCCTACATGAGAAGCAAAAAGGTGAGTCGGGGCTCTTGCTTTAAGCGGTTATTTGGTTAGCGGGACACAGCTTCTGGTTGCTGGGGAGCCATTCCTGCACGGAATGCTGCTGGGTGGCCCCAGGCAGTCGTCCATCTGCAAGGGACAAAGGCATAAAGACACAGGCAGCTTACACTTGCTTGGCTCACTCCCAGTCGGAACCAAAGCGAGGAGCTATGAACTCGCTGCAGGTTTTCCCTGTGGGAAGTGGGAGCCTAATTCCTGAGCTGTCAGCGCCTGTGCTCAGGACCTGCGTTGGCAGGAAGCTGGAGCTGGGAGTTGGACCCAGGGACTCACTAGTGGACGTGAGTGTCCCAGCTATGAGGGCACATGCCCGTGTTATCCCTGTTTCGTGAGCTGAGACGTCTTCTCCATAGAAGTGAGAACTCACAGGGGTGGTAGCAGGAAGCTGTGGCAATGGCCAAGCATGAGGCTGCAGTCAGAAATAATGACCCCGTTAGGTAAGAAAGAGCACCGTGCTTTACGAAGCCTCATCCATCTGCTCAGAACCGTGGACTGTGGACTTCCTGCAGACAGACCTTTCCGCTTCAGCCTGGTGTTCAGGCCCTGTCTGCATACTCACCCCACACGGCCCACAGCCATGTTCCAGCCAGCGGACCAGGTCGGGCTGCCCCTTCTCTCAATGCTGTCTCCACCCTCTGTAGCTGCATGTGGAGTTTGGTCCCTTGTCTGAGTGCCGTTTCTTTGTTCGCCGCCTGGTGACCATTTACCAAGCCACAAGTACTCACAGGCCCACGTGGCTGGAGACCCGATTCTGTCCCCACGGCATTTTCCCCTTTTGCTGGCCTTTGCGGGAAGCTGTAAGTCTGTAGTGCCCAGGTGGCCTCAGGGATAGCTGGGGGCTGCTTTTCCCACCACAGAGCTGCACCCTCAGGGCTCCCCAGGAGCATCCTCGCTGGGACAGGTGCTGCGAGGGAAAGGGCTTCTGCAGCCTTCAATCCTCAGAAAGCAAAAATGAGCCTGGAGGCTGTAGACTCCTGTTTCCTAGTAAAGCCTAGACAAATGAAATGATGTGAGTGAACTGGGGAGAAGATAGAGCTGTTTGGAGAAACAAACAGGCCAGAGTCTAGACAATAAATACAGCTAGCTGGTGTGAATAAACAAAGTCCTTTGTTACCGTTGGCTGTGTTTTAAAATGGCCAAACAAAAATGTCTTTAAATGCCATCTAAAGCAGAGAAGTGTGTGAAAGCATGTTTGTGGCTTGGGTGTTCGGGGCCAGCACTGGGGTTGGTGGTGTGTTCCCCTCCGCTGCCACCTTCCCTTCCCCCCCCCCCACTCCTTGGCTCTCCGAGAGCAGTGGCTTCTCTGGTCATCTGACACACTCAGCATTTTATATTTCATCTTATGTTGTTGTTTTCCAAGCCTTGACACTGTCTGAACTGCTTCTCTGGTAGCATTAGGAAGCGATCTGTGTGGATAAATACTCTGCATTTTGTGTTCAGAAATCCCCAGCTGCATCAAAGCGCGTAGAACGCCTGGGAATCCGGCATTCGTCTTCCGCGTCGGCCCTGAGAGCGGGGCCAGCGCTGGTGCTCTGAGGAGCGGCTCGTTGAGGGCGCGTGGACGTGCCTCCATGGGCAGTGGGGACGTGCCTCCATGGGCAGTGTGGACGTGCCTCCGTGGGCAGTGTGGACGTGCCTCCGTGGGCAGTGGGGATGTGCCTCCGTGGGCGGTGTGGACGTGCCTCCGTGGGCGGTGTGGACGTGCCTCCGTGGGCAGTGTGGACGTGCCTCCGTGGGTGGTGTGGACGTGCCTCCATGGGCGGTGGGGACGAGGTCACAGTGGTCTTTTCTGCCAAAGGTCAGCAACTGCAATCTGTATCGCCTCGGCAAGAAGAAGGGGCTGCCCAGCCGCATGGTGGTGTCCATCTTTGATCCCCCTGTGAACTGGCTTCCTCCCGGTTATGTAGTAAATCAAGACAAAAGTAACACAGATAAATGGGACAAAGAGGAAATGGTAAGTTGTTGGTCACCAGAGAGATGTGTTTTTGGTGAGCCAGAGATTTTCGTTCTGTGTTTTGTTTCCTTGTCCTGATGTTATTTTAAGAGCTAATATTTGGTATATTGACATAGTTCCTTTAAATGGACTACTTTGTTATTGGATTCAGAAGTAGCATTTTAATTCTGATGAAGGATGATTTCTATTTTTAATTCTTTTCCAAAGACGGAAGAATATGTGAGGTTTCACTTAAAAAGATCAAAAGCCCCTTTGTCCCTTCTACCACTGCTCTGTGTTTCAGGATTATATGTTCCAGGGTTATATGTTCCAGGGCTGCATGGTCCAGGGTTGCATGTTCTGGGGTTATGTGTTCCAGGGCTGCATGGTCCAGGGTTGCATGTTCTGGGGTTATATGTTCCAGGGCTACATGGTCCAGGGCTGCATGGTCCAGGGCTGCATAATACAGCATTCTGTATCGCTCCAAGTCCTAAGGTCATACATCACAGTGTTTATTGCATATTCCAGTTAGACCCTTGAATGTGTCAGAGGAATGACTCTTTTGTGACTGAAGACCTTCAGGCTGTCAGTCGAATCACTCATTTTAATAAAGTCTTACTCTTGCCTCTTGGGGTTTCCTTGGACTGTTTCTCATCTAGTGAACTTAAAATCGCCATGCTGCAAACTCAACATTTTCTGGAAATAATACAAGAATTGCCTGATGTTAGCAAATGCTTGCTTTCTTTAGTCTTGTTCCAAGGCCACCAGAGGGCAGCTTGGAGGACTTTGGGGCCGAGGTGGCAGGCAGTCCAGTGGTGCATGTCTCAGGATCACGGCCACCTTCCAGGCCAGTTCAGTTCTAGGAGATTTATCCTGTGTTGGTGATGGCTCATTGTCACCTCGTTGCTGGAGGCCCTGTGATGACGTTGTCGGCTCAGCAGATTCCAGCCTTCAGCCACACCGTTCTCCCTGCCTTCTGACATGCTCTTTCTCGTAGTCCTCGCTGTAGCTTTCGACAGATTCCACCTGCTTAGTGAGGAGGTGTTTTTTTTTAAGTCATGTAGTGTTTGCTTTATTACAGAAGAGAGCTTTTTCAGGACAAGCTTTAAGAGAATAATGCAAGTTAGGGAAGACAGATTGCATTTGTTATTATTGAGAAGTATATAGAACCTTAGAGGGAAGTGTGGAGTCTGAGCTTTGGAAAAAGTCAGTCATTTTTCTTTATAAAAAAGTTTTATTATCTACTTGGCTCATATGTGTATCAAAATGTGTATCATGTCACTTTGATACACATGAACAACCCAGAGTGTGCGTTTCCTTTAACCTCTCCCATAGCTTGACACTTTGGTTGTTGGAATGCATTGAAAATGCTGCTGACTCCTTTGTGCTTGAGGCAGCCCCCTGTGTTACACTCCTGCTCTGCCGTTTCTCACACCTTGGTCCGGCCCCACAAGCTTTCGGCATGGCTGGGGGCAGAGGGCAGCTTTGGAGAGTGGCTTCTCCATTGGGCAGTGCTGTTGGCAGCGCCGCCAGCTGCGAGCCCCGAGGCCGGTGCTCCTGGTGCTGGTGTGCTGTCCAGCAGACCTCATCGAAGCAGTGAGCTTCTGGGGTTAGTTATTACAGCTGCTTTTTAATTGCAATTTAGTTTTTTTTTTTTTTTGTTCTTGTCTTAGGGACCAAACAGTAATCAGAAACATTTCTTTTTACCTGGGAAAAGTCTAGTTTTTAACAGAAATGGTCCCTGGGGCGTGCCATTGTAATTTATTTTTTGTTCTTCCTTATTCTGGGAAAGGTGTTTTTTTTTTAGCTTAAAAGAACGAAAGATGCACAGGTATGGATACATGGTCTGATCCACTGCTGTTCTTTCTTTTCAAATACAGTGTTTGCATTTCTTTAGATCTGAGCATTTAAAAAATGCTCAACAGATTGAAAACTTTTTTATCAAAGTTTCTGGTGGGGTTTTGCCGTTGTGATTGCATAACAGAAATTTGGCGTCTTTCAAGCATTGCAAAAAAGTTACATCATTCCTAAATTCAGCCCATTATTAACATTGTCATTCACAAATAAACTTTGGCCAAAGAATTTGGAATTAACAAAGATCTTTTGACAGCGTGTGCGTTGTTGTGTTTCCTGCTAGCCCGCATTTTCTGCTTTGCTTTGTTGGTCGGGTTATGCTCTCATCGCTTACTCTGCTGCGGCTCCGAGTGGAAGGGAAGGGCATCGTTTCTTATAAAGTTAGGCTCAATGACCACTTTCAGTTTTTAAGCAAAGCAGTTTAGCTTTATATTGTAACAAATGAACTTTGAACTGGAAAATGGGGTGAAAAACTTTAAGAACCCTGTTGTACATTTTTGATGTCATGAAGCTTTTAAAATAAAGCAAATGTTATCTGTTTTTCTGTTGTGCTCTTACTTGCACACGTTTCTGCCTCTGCGTCTGTTCAGGAGGCTCTTGTGGAGGCGGGATCCCCCACCCCCTGGAAGGTCTGGCGGCAGGCAGGCAGGCGGAGCTCGCCCTGTGCTGCCGGGCTGCACTTCCTCGGACAAGTTTGATGCCGGGACGTGGAGTTTTCACTTTACTTCCCTGTTCAGAACCCTTCACTTTAAAGCTTCATCCTGGAGAAAGGTCACTTTATAACTTAGAAAATGAGCATTCAAAGAACTTGTTTTACTTTGTTTATATGATTAAATAACTTATTTTATGTTAATTGAAAACAAATGGCCGTGATTTTAAAGTTGCCTTTTAGTATTTGTGGTTGTCATTTGAAATTATCCATAACCCTTGCTTTTATTGAGTTTCAAACCCTTTTAAAAACAGCAGCTTGTCTCCCCTCCTTCCCATTCCCCTCATTTCAGACAAAAGACTGCATGTTGGCTAATGGCAAACTGGACGACGACTGTGAGGAGGAGGAGGACGAGGAGGAGGAGGACCTGGTGTGGAGGGCTCCGAAGGAGGAAGCTGAATATGATGATGATTTCTTGGAGTATGATCAGGAGCACATCAAATTTATAGATAACATGTTAATGGGATCAGGAGCCTTTGTAAAGAAAATTTCTCTTTCTCCCTTCTCCGCCCCGGACTCTGCGTGCGAGTGGAAAATGCCCAGGAAGCCCCCCTCTGGCAGTGTGCCGTGCACCTCCGAGTTCCAGGACTTTGACTACAGCTCTTGGGACGCGATGTGCTATCTGGATCCTAGCAAAGCTGTCGAAGAGGATGACTTTGTGGTGGGCTTCTGGAATCCCTCAGAAGAAAACTGCGGTGTCGACACGGGGAAGCAGTCCATTTCCTACGACTTGCACACGGAGCAGTGCATTGCCGACAAGAGCATCGCGGACTGCGTGGAAGCCCTGCTGGGCTGCTATTTAACCAGCTGCGGCGAGCGGGCTGCTCAGCTTTTCCTGTGTTCTCTGGGGCTGAAGGTGCTCCCGGTCATTAAGAGGGCTGACCGGGAAAAGGCTGCGTGCCCGGCCCGGGAGAGCTTCCACAGCCAACCCAAGCGGCCTCCCGGGAGCTGCGCTCTGGCCTCAGGAGCCAGCTCCCGGGGCTCCTCGGTGCTGAGAGACCTGGAGTACGGTTGTCTGAAGATCCCACCGAGATGCATGTTCGACCATCCAGATGCAGATAAAACACTCAGTCACCTTATATCGGGTTTTGAGAATTTCGAAAAGAAAATCAACTACAGGTTCAAGAACAAGGCGTACCTTCTCCAGGCGTTCACACACGCCTCCTACCACTACAACACCATCACTGGTAAGGAGCCGCAGCACCGCACTGCCCTCTTCTAAAAGAGTGCAGTGTCTGGCCCCGTTAAGAAAGCTCTGCGTGCGCAGACACCTTGTGTGGTGGGGGAGGACAGAGGAACGAGCCCTCTGTTTCTCTCATCTTCCCGCTGGGACAGTTGCAGCGTGGTTAGCTTACCTGCTCTGATACCCGCCCTTTGGGGTGCTGCCTAACTCGGGAAACTTGCACCCCGCTACGTTGGTGGACCTGACCATTCTGTCCCGCCTTTGCGCTGTGCACGCAGGGCTGCATTTGACGTGGCCTTGCTCGTGTGTTGGGGCTCCTGTTGGTCTCCCCAGACCAAGGCCCCTGGTCTGCCTCCCGTGACTGTGACACCAGCCGGTTTCATCACTTGCTGTCTGGCCCTGCTGTCACTGCCCACTCTTCCCTGGGCTGTGCTTGCTTCTCTGATTTTATAGTCTCTCGGTCTGTAAGAGCGAAAGGGAAAATGGCTGAGAGCCAGAAGCTGGTGTTTCTATTTTGTTTTCAATTGTAACTGTCAGTGCTTAGATCTGAAAGATGATATAGTATGTATAATAAGATGACCTGCGAAGTGCAGAGCCAGAAGGTGCAATCCTGTCTGATTTCTGATGGAGTTTCTGATTTCTGTCTGAGTTTCCTCATGGGGAAAAAACGGTGTGCATGGCTGGGTCTCACCTAGCTGCCTCTTTGCCCCTTGGGTAGTCTGGGCCATGTGCCTTGCCCCATGAGCCCTCTGACCGCTCTGAGGAAGTAGAGGGGTTAGGTAACCTTGCTCCCACCCTGCGTTTTGACTGCCTGCCGTCTGAGCTCACTCTCACACCTCTTCTCTCCCCAGCTCGTGGTTTGTGCCAAATGTAGCATTTGTATGAGAAAAGAGGCTTGTTTATGGACCCTTGTGTGTGATGCACACCACACAGGGCAACATGGAGTGTTACCACTGTCCACACACTGCAGAGTGGAGGGCGGCGCCATGCGGAGTGTGCATGTGGCTGACAGCCGGTTCAGTGCAGTGGTAACACATGGGTGACGGCCCTGCACCTGCTGGCCCCATGCAGCGCGGTGGTGGGGGGCTCTGTGAGTGGGCACAGCTGGGAAAGGCTTTGTGTTTTTTATTTTTCATGCTAGCAAGCATTAGTCTTTTGACTGTGTGAAAAAATTTTAACCCTAGTTCCGAATTGCCATTTTCTCTCCTTAAGTCAGAAACTCATTAAGTGGGTTCAGGGAGGAGCCTTTTCCTTGGAAGCTGTGGCTGTTGATGGCCCGTGACTGCCCTCTGGTCCTCTCTCAGATTGTTACCAGCGCTTGGAGTTCCTGGGCGACGCGATTCTGGACTACCTCATTACCAAGCACCTTTACGAAGACCCTCGGCAGCACTCGCCCGGGGTCCTCACCGACCTGCGCTCTGCCCTGGTCAACAACACCATCTTCGCGTCGCTGGCTGTGAAGTACGACTACCACAAGTACTTCAAAGCTGTGTCCCCCGAGCTCTTCCACGTCATTGATGACTTTGTGCAGTTTCAACTGGAGAAGAATGAGATGCAAGGGATGGATTCAGAGGTGAGTGCTCCGATGTTCAAGGTAAAGAAAATGCTCCCGGGGCATCGGTCCTGCAGGGCTGCTGTTGTTGCCCCGTGCGCTGTGTGTTCTCCAGGGAGCTGTGTGCACTGTGCATTCTCGGGGGAGCTGTGTGCACTGTGTGTTCTCCAGGGACCTCTGTGTTCTCCGGGGAGCTGTGTGCACTGTGCATTCTCGGGGGAGCTGTGCGTGCTGTGTGTTCTCCAGGGAGCTATGTTCATTGCGTGTTCACCGGGGAGCTGTGTGCGCTGTGCGTTCTCTTGGGGAGCTGTGCATGTTGTGTGTTCTTGGGGAAGCTGTGCATTCTCAGGGGAGTTGTATATGCTGTGTGTTCACCAGGGAGCTGTGCGCGCTGCATATTCTCCAGGGAGTGTGTGCACTTAGCATTCTCCTGGGAGCTGTGCACGCTCTGTGTTCTTGGGGGAGTCTTTTAAGCCAGAGCTTGTACTCCTTTAGGAGCTGAGACAGAGTCAAGGTCCCAATTACTGCAGTATTTCTCCGTGCCCAAGGAGTGTGCACTGCTCGCTGCCCTGCCCTCTGGATGTAATGCTAGTAAAAGCTCCGTGTGGCTTAGTCTGTCTTTTTTTCTCTTTAAGTGGCTCAGAAATATTTGCTGATATCTCAGGTTAGCATCACAAATGTACACTCTGCTTCTACTTGAAATGGGGAAAATCTCACTTAAAAACTAAACTTCTGAATTTTTTAACTGTTGGAATCTGGGAGGCCTGTACTCTTGAGTTCAGCCAGAGGTCCTTCGCTGGTGGAGCTGATTCGGATGTGTCTGAGAGCTGCTTGCAGGCTTGCAGGAGGGGATATTGCTCGGGTCACTGACGGCCATCCGCATGCCTGGGCACTCAGGGGAGCGTGGCCACCCCTGCTTCCAGTGCCGCTGAGTGCCTTATTTTAGGTGGATTTTTTTGTAAGGAATTGATGATTTTGTTCTTCGTGCTGTTAGTGATTTTAATTGTTCTTTCTTTACCTCCTACATTCCTTAAAAACAAACAAACAAAAAAACCTGCCCTGAATCGTTGTTGGGGAGTTGTGAATTTCTTGGGCTTTTTGTGAAGAAAAGTAGTGTGAGCTGCTGCCATGCAGCGAGCGCCAAGACCTGGCAGCAGCCGGGTAGGGAGGGCGAGAAGGGGGCACCTCTCCTGCACCTGGGCCCAGCAGGGCCCTTGCAGTCTTGGTTCTAATCTCATTCTGTAGGAAGGCCTGGGCTTGAAATCTGAGAACTTGGTCTGGGTGACACCGGTTCTCTCTGACGCCGGGGAGGCGTCCTGACTGTGTTAGCTTTCATTCATTCTTTCCTTACGTTTATATAAACACGCCTAGAAATCACAGGGCCTCATTGGAGCTGCCTGCGTGTGAGTTTTCTAACTTGCTTTCTGTTCTTAAGTCTCTGCCTCCTTGGGCCTCAGTTTTCTTGGCTGTGAAGCAGAGAATTAACTTGATAAGTTCTGAACTTCCTTTCTGCCTCCAAGCCATAGAAACCTGAGCAGTGAGTATCTGGTTTGTAGTTGGCATCCTACATGTTCCGTGGACCCTGGCTGAGCAGTACGTAGGAATTAGCACTTTCTTCCTCGTTAGTTCTTCACAGATAGTTTTTGTGTTTCTGGAAACTGCAAATGCGAATAAAGAAAGAATGTAAGTTGTGCGGCTGCGCTAGCTCAGGAGTAAGCAGAGTTAGCCTCTGAGGGTGGCTCACTGTGATGGAGACACAGCTGTGCAAAATGTAAAAAAGAGTGATCATTGTGAGTTCTAGCTTGTTCTATGACTTAATGTATTGTGCATGGCTTCCTATGTACTAATTGGTGTTTTGATTTTCATTAGCTGCAAGGTGGTTAATATATAGCTACTTTATTTAAATAGTCTTTTGTGTAAATGCTTTTTTGGCTAGAACTTTTAATAAACATGGTATGATGAGTGTGCTTACATAACCAGTTCCTTTCTTAAGATGCATTCCTGGAAGTGGAATTGCTTCATCAAAGCTTTAGGAACTTTGATTAACTTGAGTGCCCACGTGCGTCCCGCTGTTACTATAGTGACCACGTTCTAAGTGTCTGCGTGAACAGAGAACCTGAGGGGAAATACCTTCCAGTTCCACTTCCCTGACCAGATTTGTGTGGCCCGGTCCCCAGCGGCAGCGCTCCATGCAGCCCGTGCCACACTGCTGGGGCAGCTCTATTCATATGCATGCTGTCTAATTAGGAGTGGAATTGCAGTTTTTACTCACACTCACTGACTGTGTTTAACTGTTGAAATGGGTGTTGTTTTCATTTGTAAGTAACCTTTGGGGATTTTCTTCTTTCATTTTTTTTGAGAAGAGAATATTTGCGGGGTGCCATTACACAGTGGGCATGCTGTAGATGGTTGGCTCTTAGCAGTGAGAGCCAGAACCCAAGGAAACGAGCACACTTGTGGGAGCCACCTGGAAAATGGCTTTTCCTTACAGGTCACTTTTCTCTGTAATAGCTCAGGAGATCTGAAGAGGATGAAGAGAAAGAAGAGGATATTGAAGTCCCAAAGGCCATGGGGGACATATTCGAGTCGCTGGCTGGTGCCATCTACATGGACAGTGGGATGTCCCTGGAGACAGTGTGGCAGGTGTACCACCCCATGATGCGGCCTCTCATAGGTACGCTGGCTCTGCCTGGGGCGCGGCGCAGGTGCAGAGTTGCTTCAAGGACTCACCTTATTCTTTTGATTACAGAAAAGTTTTCTGCAAATGTGCCCCGTTCACCTGTGCGAGAATTGCTTGAAATGGAACCAGAAACTGCCAAATTTAGGTAAGAAACAAAGGAGGAGAGAGAAAGAGAAATGTGTATGGAAAAAAAATTACTTGGAAGCAAGGAGAAAGTTCTCAGTGGTGCCAGAAGCCAGAAGCCAGTGGTTCTGAAAGTTGTGAGTTTTGGGCTTGTGGCTTTCCAGCTCCAGTCTGCAATCCCGGGGACTGCTCCTGTTTTGTTGGTTTCTGTCAACCTGCTGGCCCTGTGCAGGATGTCCCTCTGCTTTGTGTGGTGACAGCCTGCCCTCAGCCACCTGCTGAGTGACACCGGCAACAAACACTGCTCCCTCCTCACTTGAGCTGTTTGCCTTTCTTCCCAGCCCGGCTGAGAGAACTTACGACGGCAAGGTCAGAGTCACCGTGGAAGTGGTCGGCAAAGGCAAGTTTAAAGGTGTTGGCCGCAGTTACAGGATCGCCAAGTCTGCCGCTGCCAGAAGGGCCCTGCGAAGCCTCAAAGCTAACCAACCTCAGGTTCCCAACAGCTGAAGCCTGTTGTCAACGTTCAAAGCAAAACGAAAAACCACCGAGGGGGGAGTATTTAAACATGATGGGGTCAGGTTGATATGTCGAGTGGAATGAGCTGAAGGCAGAATTTACAGTGTGTTGGATAATAAGATAGATAACAGAATAAAACATTTAACACATGTACAAAAATCTTTGGAACTAATTGTAGTTTTAGTTTTTTTGCGCAAACACAATCTTCTTTCCTCACTTCTGCTTTGTTTAAATCACAAGAGTGCTTTAATGATGACATTTAGCAAGTTTTTAAAATACTGACTGCTTTGTTTGTTCCTTGAGTTTAGTTTCTGTTGACTGTTTAGCGTTAGAAGGCCCTGGGGCTGAGCGGTGTGCAGTCTGAGCAGCCCTCAGGCTGTGCCAGCCAGCTGGGACCAGCTGCGCCCGTAGGGCATGGGCGAGGGGTCCTGTGGTGATGCCTGCTGTGCATGGGGGCGTGCAGATGTTGGCTGTCCTTTCCCTGTCCTTGGAGGAGGGTGCACTCTCTTCCTGTTGCCCTGGAGGGCGTGGCTGGCGTGCTGCCGAGTCTGAGCTTGATCTCCTGATGCCCCGTAGTCCTGCATGAAGACAGAGGTTCTTGCCTTAAAAGTAAAACCCTTCCTGGATATTCTCTGATTTCTGATCTTTCTGGAGCAAACTTCTATTTTACATTCCCTTTGTTTTGTTACACATGAGATGTTGAGTCCGTGTGACTCAATTTATTCCTGAATTAGTTGTAACTTAGTACAGGTTTACCCCAGAATTTCTGTCAAGCGTCCTGAGATATTTGAAAAACCGGAATATGAAGTCTGGATTTTCTTTGAACATCGTGGTAAAGATGATCTTTGGCTAAATACCCAGTTTTACTAAAGGGTCTCCTGTGAAGTAGTTCCATGGACGGAAATGTTTATAGCAAATAGCTTTTCCCTGTAGGCTGTTGCTTTAACAAAACAGACCATAAGCCTGTCACACCTGAGCAAGCTGCAGATTCCGTGGTGGGCTGGGTGCTGGCTTAAGGGGGGGAATAGCACCTCGCCGCCCTGCCTGCTGCGCGCCACACTCCCTTCACCTCCGGGTTGACACATCTGGTACTTAGGTTGTTAACTGAGGTCAGCTAGCTCATTGTTTGCAACTTTGGAAAAGGAAAGAAAGAGCCCAATGTTTTTAGGCATCTGCCGAATTTTCTTTAGCTAGACTTGTAGGCGCTCCTCACTGAAATACCTCAATTCTTTGCTTTTGCATGCGTCTCTCCCCCTGTTTGGTGCTACGTTTATGTATTATGCTTGAAATTTTAATTTTTTTTGCACTGTAACTATAATACCTCTTAATTTACCTTTTGGAAAGCTGTGGGTCAGTCTTGCGCTCGCACCCACCTCGCAGTAGAGGTTTGCTGCAGTTTGCCCGTTAGAAGTGGAGCAGAGGGGTCTCACACATGTTCCCGCGCGTGGGTCCGAAGGTGACGCTCTGTGTAATGCTGCATTTGTGTTTCCACTGTGTTCCAGCTGAGAAACCCTGGGGCTTGTGCCAGGAAGCCCCAGGAAGGGGTGGGGGCGGTTCCCTGCTGAGAGCCAGCCCAAGCTCCTCCTAGATTCCCTGATCTTTCTGCTCTCGCGGTGGGGGGAAGGGCAGGGGCTTTTCAGCTAGTTAACTTAGAGGGCTCCTTTCCAGAACGATTCTGATTTGTAATCGTAGGGTATGTGTTTAGCGACTTCAAGCCAAGGGATACTTGGACTCTGGTCAGTCGGAAGGCAGATGTGAGCTGCGCACGGCGCTTCGGAGTAACTGTGCCACTGATGCCATGGTGATGTCTAAACTACCTGACCCCAGCACGGCAGGGCTCTCGCCTCCTGGCCCTGGCCCGTGGTGTTTCACAGTGAAAGCCCCAAGAGGAGAAAAATGCCTCAATATATTTTGTAATTTTAGGAAGAATATTTTTTGTTAATACTAAAAAGTTCAGCTGTGGGTATGATTCGGTCGTACATTCTCAGGGGTTCAGATTTCCTGCTACCATTCAAACTCTTATCGCCAGCAAACTTTATTTCGTTTTCTTGTTGGAGAGAAATAACCGATGTTAATTTAAAACCGACGATTGGAAGTATTCTCTGGTCCTCGGGTTAGACGCGAACCGGTTGTGGTCGCTCCCACGGGAGAGACCGCGATGCTCCCGAACGCCGCACTCAGCCTGCGGAAGTGCTTGGCTTCCGTGGGTTATGGAATCACTCTGTGTGCCCAGCCTTACGGCCAGCCCTGTGTGCCCCTGAGAGTGCCAGCAGTGCGAATGGGGCCGGGGAGCCAGCAGTGCGGCGGGCTGGGCAGGGCGGGCTCGGGGGGGGGCACTGCGTGGGCTCGGGGGGCACTGCGTGGACCCCAGGGTGGATCGGTGGCTTCCCCCAGCTGCGTTCACGTCGCACACGGAAGCATTGCACTTGGCATCAGGCTTTACCTCATTTCAAGGAAAACGTGCTTAACCGAGAGGAAACAGTATAGTTTGGCCTTGCTGCTGTTTGATTTCCTGAATCTGAAAAAGATAATTGTGATGCCTGCAGTGTGTCGTGTACTTGCACAACTTAAATAGGTCATTCTTGTCTGTGGCATTTTTACTGTTTGTGAAAGTGTAACAATGATTTGCTAACTCCTAATTGTGTATTTTTTAAATCTTTGTTGCATTTCTTTTCCCTTTTATGTTACGTGAAGTGATTGCATTTAGAACGACCTCTAATACTCCTGTCATGATCTTTGAAAATACTTTTACTTCCTTACTGGTAGCTTGCCCCAAGACAGTGCGAGGCTTGGCCCTGTGAGCTCCTCGGGCTCTGTTCACGAACAGAGTCAGCTGGTGCAGCCGCTGGCCATGACTGATGGCCCCAGAGGACAGCGGAGTCCTAGCAGCCCAGCTGGTCTGAAACCTGGCACCTAGCTCTGCCGCGGGATCGGCTGCGCTCACCGGATCGAAGCAGCGGCCTCGGAGCCTGCTGCCGGCGTCTAGCTGCGAATGGAAGACCGTGTCCTCCAGCAGCACGCATGCTCTGTGGAGAGAAGGCCAGGCCATGTGTGAGCTCCGTGGTTATTTTGATGATATTTAAATAGGTATATTTTTACAGCCGCTGATTACTTTCCAGGAATTTAATTGTTTCCAAATGAAGTTCTTTATTTTATATTGTAATGAAAAGTTTTAAAGATATGTTTAAGACCAAGACTGTTACAATGATTGTTAACGGTTGTTTGGAGACACCAGTAGCAGCATCTAGTGGGTGTGTGTTGAGACCATCGTGTTTTTCTGGGCAAGGGATCTTTCAAAACTAACTTGTAAATATGTTTTAATCATTACTTGTTTTGTTCAGCCCATTTGTATGTAAGCCCCAGCCCCACAAGCCACTGCAGCGTTGTAGATGCTGTCTGAATTCCCTGCAGCAGCTGGTGCAGGTGACATAAAGGAAATTCCTAGCTCTTCTGCTGTAAATAGAGTGAAGGAAGACGACTAAAATCAAGTAAAACTAACACATCTTGTAACAGTGCCATGTGGGCAGCACGCCCCTTGCAGGCTGTGACACAGACATGGCAGGCGGCACCTTGGGGTCAGGATGGCAGGCCGTGACACAGACATGGCAGCTGGCACCTGGGGTCAGGATGGCAGGCTGTGACCCCAACACGGCAGGCGGCACCTTGGGGTCAGGAATCCCTCCAGTTGTTCTTTTGGTAATAATTGTAGCCGAGTAAATTTCTCCAATAAAGTTATGGTCTGTTCGCCCCGTGTCTTCTTGTTTTCCTTTCAGATGGGTGCTGGCACTCAACTAAGGGTGCAGCCAGTGTTCCACAAGGGCCCTTATTTTCTGGGACACCTTTTGCCGAATTCTGCATCGTGTCCACCTACAGAATTAGCAGCTGCTGGCTGTCGCTTTCAGGACTGAGCACGCGCCAGTGTGTTTTCCTGAACTCTCTCACCGTGATTGATGTGTCATTTGTTGCACATAGCAACATTTCCCTAAGCGAATTCGGTGGTTCTGAAGTCCAGCCGAGTGAAGGCTTAGCTTGCAGGTTTGCGGGCCTTGATTCCAGTGTGGTTGGTTGAGGCAGGGATCTGTGATCCCAGGCCTTCTGCCCAGAGCTCAGCTGAGCGCAGCACGAGCCGCTGACTTACGGGAGTGGGCGGTAAGAAAGGGATTTTAGAGCAAGAAGAAATTTTGGTTTTCTTTTTGAAAGTTTAAATTGATCCCTTCCTCCTTCTGCCTGCTGTAAGCCAAAGGAGAGAAAATATAGGGATTTAAACCTTGAGGAATTTGGGTGCGTGCTGGTATGCTGGCGAATGTTGGCATGGCCACCCCAAGCACACAGAGTGGCTGGGGCCGAGGCCCAGGGCCAGAGCTGTTTCCTCCAGTGTTGCCCTGCTGAGGCGAGTAGTGGCCCCAGGCTCTGCGGAGCAGGTGTGGTTAAGGCGGCCCTGCACATCAGGAAGTGTGTGGACAGTCCAGTGGGGTGATCTGTGGGCATAGACCTGCAAGCCAGTGAGGTGGGTGGTAGGGGTAACGGTGAGTCCAAGCCTGGCCTGCCCTGTAGTGAGCTGTCACGGACGCCTCTAGGCACAGGTGTCTGCAGGGCAGAAGGAGAGTAGCCATTAGCTACATGAAACTCAAGTGCTTTAGCTATTGTGAAGTTCTCAGTGCTCATTTGGTGTCACCAAGTGCATGGAGCAATGTTGGACAGCCGTTGGCACCATCCAGCTCCAGGACTTAAATTCTAAATCAAAATTATCTGCCCCCAGTAATTCCGCTGCCCCTCCTTCCAGATCCCTCTGTACCGGCTGTCCAGGCGACGTGAACATCTCAAGAAGGAGCTCCTGAAAGTGAGTCACACAGTCCTGTTTTTCTATCCAGTGTGGCATCTTCAGGGCCCATTGATGTCGCAGTTGACTGTTCAAGGCCAGCTCAGAGTCCAGAGGGTGTGTCCACCACATCTTGTCTGTCCATTCATCTCCCCCAAACGTGTGCCTTGCATTCTCCTTGAACAGCTGTAGTGCTGGCTGAAGCATGGGCACACGCATGCCTGTAGTCATCACTGCTTTCCCGTCTCCAGGTGCTGGCTGTCGTGGTGGGCCGCCCTGTGGCTTCCCACGGTAGTACAGGGACTTGTGGTTTCTTCCCTCCCTTCCTGCTGCCATGGTTGACAGTCACCGACCTGAAGTGTATGCAGAGGCTTCTTGCTGGGGGCTTGAGTTCGTTTCCATGGGGAGGGTGGGTGTTGGGTCTTCCCCTGTGCCTGTTGGCCGTATGTCTTGGGAGAATTGTCTGTTCCCATCCTTTACCCAGTTTGGAATTGGGTATCTGATGTCTGTTGCTGTTGAGTCTTAACACATTTTTTATGTATTTAATTTTCTGCCTATTAATCCCTTAATAGATGGAGGATTTACAAAGTTTCAGTCCCATCTGGGGGTAGTCTTTTTTTACTCCTTTGGTAGTCTTTCATGTTAGTAAAGTCCAGTTAATTGGTTATTTTCTTTTTCCTTGTTGGCCTGTCCTGTTTTGTTCTGGGAGTTCTACAGTCTAGCCCTTCCTTGGGCCTCTGGGCCACCTCGGGCTGGCTTTTGAAGCCGACATAAAGGAAAGGCCAGCTGGAGCTTTCACTGTGAGCAAGTAGTTTCCTCAGTGCCATGGACTACACCTTAGCTCGTCACACCAGAACAGCCCCCGTGCCTACCCAGCTGCCCGAGCTGAAGGCTTACCCAAGGTCGCCCCTGCTTGCTGTCTGGCCAGTCGACGTAACCCGGGCCCATTTCTGCTGCCACCCCTGGGGTGGAGACCATGCAGTGTGTTTGCTAGCAAGGACAGCCATTGCTGTTTCTGCGAGCTCATGCTCTGCTGGCACTGCCAGGAGTGGTGGGCACTGAGCACCCCTTGCTGGCTGTCTCAGGCCATGAACATTTGTTATCCGCATGTAGTTTTCTGTGAACTTTGTGTACATGAGTTTA